AGTAGTCTGGTGAGGATGAGGCATCTAGCTATTATCTGTGCAGGGCGTCTTGCTGTGTTCATTCAGCATACTCCCACCTCAGGGCCGAGTCCTCTGTCTGGAATGATTTTCTCCTGACTATACGCATGGCCTATTCCCTTGCTTCATTCAGGTCTCTGCTGAAATGTCACCTCTTCCAAGAGGTCTTCCATGACCAATGTATCAAAAATAGCAACTCCAGCCACTCTGTTCTTCCTCTGCTTTATTTTTCTTTATAGCACTTATCACTACCTGACATTGTTTTTTTTTTTTATGTATTCATTTATTACCTATCTCCCTCACTAGAATATAAATTCCTATCAGGGGACTCTGCCCTATTCCTTTGTATTTCCAGTAATTAAATCAGTGCCTGTTATAGTGAGTACTCAAATATTTGTTCAAGGACAAAAGATCCTCAGCATTTGCAGTCTTTTAGGTTATTGCCCAGCAGCTCCCTTGTTTCTCACTGGTACAACTAGACGCATCTGTAGATCAGCCATGGCCATGGGCTTCTACAGCTAGCTCATGGTGCTGGGGATGGGGTGCTGTCCTAGTACTTTGCAGCCACCAGTCAGCCCAGGATACTAAATTTTGCTTTGGTTTTGGGGCTTCTGTCAGAACAAGATATTCTTCTCCTTTCTGAAAGGGTAGAGCTTAATATTCTACTCTGCTTACAGATGAAGAGATGATGGCCACAGAGGTAACCCCCTCAGCCATGGCAGAGCTTACAGACCTGGGCAAATGTCTGATGAAGCACGAGGTGGGTAGATAGGGCAAGTGACACCTTTTCTTCTTGCCTATCTAGGGAGCCAGCTTCCACTTCTCATACTCTATGATACCATCAAAAGAGTTTTTGGGGGCCGGCCCAGTGGCTCACTCGGGAGAGTGCGGTGCTGATAACACCAAGGCCCTGGGGTTGGAACCCATATAGGGATGGCCGGTTCGCTCACTGGCTGGGTGTGGTGCTGACAACACCAAGTCAAGGGTTAAGATCCCCTTACCGGTCATCTTTTTTAAAAAAAAAGAGTTTTTTGGTAGTACTCCTTTTTATAAGTTCCTGGTTCCTAAAGCTCCTAGAGAAAACAAAGGAAAAGGCTCAGGGCTGTAGTGTCTCCCATGCTGGCATGGGCAAAGGCTCTCGGAAAATCACAAGAACATGTTAATGCAAATCCTTGGTGTTTAGCCTACCCCAGACCTAAGCTTTGTCTCCATCCTACAACGTAGGTTTTCTCTTATATATTGATTTTTTTTTCTTTTTGACTGTCTAATTTATAGAAATAGAGAAAGTAAACTGACTACTCTTTAGTATCTGCTTTTATCATTTTTCTGCTTACCTATTAAAACTTCTGCTGTTTAAAAATGGAGAAAATTGTGCTTATTTTCCCATTGTGATCCTTCATCCTTTCCTGTTCAGGATGTTTGTACAGCACTATTAATTACAGCCTTCAATTCCCTGGCCTGGAAGGATACTCTGTCCTGCCAGAGGACAACCACACAGCTCTGCTGGCCTCTCCTCAAACAAGTATGGTTATTTACTCCTTCTCCCCGCCCTGCATGGAAGGTTTGGGTCATGTGGATTGACTGAATGAATCAGTTGGAAAAATCGTGGTGCTGGGGCCTTCAGAGAGGCCCCCTGTGGCCCTGAGCACAGCTGTCTCCCCAGGTGCTATCAGGGACACTGCTCGCAGAGGCCGTCACATGGCTTTTCACCAGTGTGCTAAAAGGCTTACAGACACACGGGCAGCACGATGGGTGCATGGCTTCCTTGGTCCACCTGGCGTTCCAGATATATGAAGCGCTGGTGAGTGGAAAGATCATGGGGACAGGATGGCTGTGACTTCATCACTCACAGCCTGCTCCCAGTCTCTTGGGCCTTATAGTAAATTTAGGCATCTGCCAAATTGCTAGTGCTGCCCCTGAGGGGTGGGTGTGGCAGGGTAAGGAAGGTGGCAGTGAGTTTATCCCCACTTATCAGCGCCCCAGGTACCTGGAGATAAGGGCTGTGATGGAGCAAATCCCTGAAATACAGAAGGACTCTCTGGACCAGTTTGACTGCAAGCTTTTGAACCCCTCCCTGCAGAAAGTAGCTGACAAGCGCCGGAAGGACCAATTCAAACGTCTCATTGCTGGTTGCATCGGGGTAGGTCATGCACCTCCATTAGTGCTCGCAACCCTACAAGTGGCTTGTGGTCTTAGACCATGTGTACAGGCAAACCAGAAACCAACTGTAGTCATTAACCATTATAATAGGATGGTTTTGGGGCCGGCCTGTGGCTCACTCGGGAGAGTGTGGTGCTGATAACACTAAGGCCCCGGGTTCGGATCCCATATAGGGATGGCCGGTTTGCTCACTGGGTGAGCGTGGTGCTGACAACACCAAGTCAAGGGTTAAGATCCCCTTACTGGTCATCTTTTAAATAAAATAAATAAAAATAATAGGATGGTTTTTAACCCACTATTCAGGGCCTGGCATTAGTTCTTCCTCATTTCTTTTCCACAGAAACCCTTGGGAGAGCAGTTCCGAAAAGAAGTTCATATTAAGAATCTTCCCTCACTTTTCAAAAAAACAAAGCCAATGCTGGAGACAGAGGTGCTGGACAACGACGGGGGCAGCCTGGCCACCATCTTTGAACCCTGAATCAAGCTTTTGGGCATCCTTCCTCGGCCTTTATTGTCATCTCTTCTTCCACTTTGCAGCCAATCTCTAGGCCCCTCTCGCACTGCCACCTCACTTTCCACCATTGTCAGCCTGGAGAGAGATCCAGGTCTGGAGCTGGAGAGAGTGGGCCCTGTGGAAGGCCAGAAGTAATTATACTAACCTATCAAGAAAGGGAGTTAGGGTTGATACCATTCTGTCTAGATGTCCCAGGTAGTTCCCATTCTACTTGGAGTTTTAGCTTTTCCAAGAAAAGCTAGAGCAGAGCAGCCCTTCTCCCCTAGCCCTCCTGCCGCCATGTAGCCACATCTGTCCAGAATGGTAACGAGGGGTGCTATACCCAGCACTGCGAATAGCCAGGCTTGCAGCAAGGGCTCAGCCCTCAGCTATTTGTGCTGGAGAGTTTCTCCTGGACCACTGCAAGTCACACTGAGCCCGCATTGCTGCTGGACTGGCAGGGAACCTTCCCCACCCCACCCCCAGGGGCATATCTGGGTTAGGTGCTACATGCTGAACTGTACTTGGCCAGTTTCCTCATCTTTGTTTTGAGCAAAAATCTGGTCACCTGATGGGATCCATGGTACAGGCTACTGCCAAACTCTAGGCACAGTATCAAGTGTAGTACCTCCAGGGACTATGGCTAGACAGTCTTTAGTGCTATCTAACATCCCCTTTATAGCTCACTCATCTTACCCCCTTCCACGAATAACCCTTCAATCTGGTTTCCCCAGCCTCAGGGTTCACTCAGGCACAAGAGCCACAGTACCCTACCTAGTACCACATGACGCTGTTGTCATCCAAGGATAATGCAAACCAACTGGGCTATATCTGTGACAAGCAGCTAGCAAAGCCACTGGTCTGCTCCTAGGACTGAATCAGTCCAGGTGCCTTCAAAATCTCATGGTCTTTCAGGTCCCTGATCACTTTTCTCAAGGGCCATTTCCAAAAGAAAACAAAATATGCCTTCCCATCATAACCTGTACTGTGTGTTAGTCCATTCTAGAGGTCACTGGAAGGCTCTGTAAAAAGGGGTCATGGATATGGGACCTATCCCTGAGGTTATTACTGGCCATAAGGCAGGCTTAATCAGTACAGAAACCAGAGTGTGTATCCATGTGCTCTGTACAAAGACAGGATTGTCATCCACTCAATCCACTGACGAGAGGGTTTCAGCGAGAGGCGCCAGAGTGAACTAAAGCTACAGCTTTTAGCTGGTAGAGGCCACCGGCAGGGTAAGGTTGGGAAGAGGCAAAGCAGGGGAAGTGTGACTTGGAGTCTCATATTGCCATCTCTGCTGCTCAGACTTGCCCCTGCTCCCTGTTCCTGCGTGGTGCTTTGGGTTTCTGTCGATTGTGAAGATGATCTCAAAGAATGTTTCCCTCCAAACTTGATAGCTGCCTACTCCTTTGTCTGGTTGGGGCTGTGGAGGGTATCATTGTATTTATTGTGTTGTAATATTTTTAACATCCTGTGATTTCATGCTAGAAATTTTCTATTGTTTATAGAAACCTTTTTGTAGAAACATTAACTCTAAAGCACATCTGCATGTTAGTAAAAATCTGTTTCATAAAGAAAGGGCCCCATCTGCCTTTTTCAAACCAATCTTAGAACCGGTGACATACTCCATAGTTACTTTCTCATGAGCATCCTGCTAAGGGGCCTAGACAGACAGAACTGTGACTGACGGACCTTGTATGTCAAGCTTTCTAAAGTAGCATGCCAGTTAGAAAAAGATTTCTATTCCTTTTTTTAAAAAGATGACTGGTAAGGGGATCTTAACCCTTGATGATGTTGTTAGCACCACACTCTCCCAAGTGAGCTAACCAGCCATCCCTATTTAGGGATCTGAACCCATGGCCTTGGGTGTTATCAGCACCACACTCTCCCAAGTGAGCAACGGGCTGGCCCAAGATTTCTATTCCTAACCCACCTAGATCAGGCAGCCCATACCATTCTCACAGTGTCTTTCATGTGTGACTGCTGGACTGGACCCCCACGGATCATCCATAGGGAATCACTGCTATTCTTTGTGGAGCTGTCAATAGCAACATGATTTGGACTGCTATTGACCATCCTTTTTCCTATCAGGAACCTCCCTTGTAATCCAGGAAAGTGGCAAAATGGCACATTCATTCTGGCTCCTAGAGTTTGGCTGTGGCCCCAGAAACCACCTTAATTTAGCATTTCTTAGGAGGCTTTAGAAGGACGTGGCCCTAACCTGCAAGTGACATCTGAGCTCAGTGTTCTTAACTGCTAAATGCCAAATCTGTTCTGAGGTGAGGCCCCATATTTTTAGACGAAAACTCAAGAAGTCTCCGAAAAAAAATAATTTGTTTGGACATGAATTTATTTACATCAAAGGCCTTACAAAGGCATAAAAGTCTCATTCTGTGGCACATTTGACAAAATGATTGAAAAAAGTTGTCCCACAAAACTCAGGACCCCTAGTCACACTGGGCTCTCTGTACAGCAGTCCTGTAGAGGCACATCAGAACCCAAAACTTTCAGCTTGCCTCAGGAACTTCCAAGGCCAACCATCCCAATAACATGCCAGTGCAAACTTCACTCCATCTGAACTGCATCTAGTTCGTCCAAGAACCGCCGGCACTTCCCCATCAGTACTTTGATGGCTTCACTCACCAGAACATCTGGTGGTAACACCCCTGTGGACTCAACAGAGACTGGGGACCAAAGAGACACTTTAGCTCAGGCAGGGCTTGCCATTAAAAAGCTCCTGATACAAGTTATTCCTGAATTCCACATCTGGACTCTGAAAGCACCAAAGAGTAATGCCCCCACCCTCCCACTCGCCTCACCCTTTCATACTCACAGATATAATGATCCCGAACCCGGGCAAGCCGTACAACCTTCTTCAGCTTCTCATTCCGGAAGATTTCCCGGCTGAAGGTATCCAGCCGGGGATTGGCAACTCTGGCCACCTTTTTACCTAATGAAAACCATGTTATACCTTGTCTGGTAGGGGCTCAGAGCTTCTATTTCTCTCTACCACTTTCAAAGAAAATATACTTTAGGTCCTGACCTGAACAGCATCCTAAATACCATACCTTGGACTTCGTGCACTTCAATAACTCCAGGTGAGAAACACCGGCTCAACTCCTCAGCTGCCTCTCCTTCCACGGGCTCAAGCAGGGTGATGTCTGGCAGAAGCCTGTAACTAGCTGTCGCCACTGGTGAAAACTTGGCATGATCTTTGCCTGGAGGGAAAAGGGAAATCGGCCTGTGGTGAACCCTTCTTCATACTCCTAAGCCACTGAGAGCAAAAGCACAAATCCGCTGGCTTACTGCCTGTCAGGAACGTCTCAGCTGAGTTCCTTGGTCATACCTTACCCCACTGTAATCAAACTACTCTGCCCAGAGCAGGCCCACAGGGTTCTTACCAATGCCCTTGACACAGTGCATGAGCAGGTCAATCTCCTGGCCAGGCCTCAGCTGAGCAATGAGGATATCATCATGCACTGGTCGGATAGTGCCCTCCGCGAAGAGGTCAGCCTGGTTCCCCAGGGGGACCCATGTCATGTGCCTGGTGTACACTGGAGGAAAAATATGTCAAAAGACCTCACTCCCTAAGACTAGCACCCACCAGCAGGTGGGCCCTCTTCCTCACCCTGCCACTGCTCACCTTTGTGGTTCACGTAGAGTTCATTGGGGTCAGAGGAATCTTTTGCAGCATGGGGATTCCGAGTGCACCTAACTTGGAGCCGAAACTGCAGAGTATCTATCTCTGTTCCTTCTTCATCTCCTGCACAAATGAAGGCAGCAGCTCTTAAAGAACTAGTGAGCATTTGCACACCCACCACTATGTTGAATGTTTAACCTACATTTCTCATTTCATCCTTGACAAACATAGGAAGGCAAGGGCAAGGGTTCTCACAGATGAAAACACTGATGTACTAAAAGACAACTTGCCCAAGATCACACAGTAATCAATCCAGAATTTGAAACCAGGCAGTCTGACTCCAGAATCTACTTCAGGAGAGAGCTGTTTCACTTATGTCAAAATTTTATTTTCTTAGACCCTCACCTTGGTTCCGATATTCAAAAAGACGGGGGTCAGCATGAATGGGAATAAGCCCCAGGCGGTGAGCAAGGATCTCATCCTGGACAATGGATGTGTTGTTGTACACCAGGACTTTTTCCACAGCCATAGTTGGCACCTGCCCAAAGAAACAATCACCCATCTGCAAAAACCCAGTAAAACTCCCCACCTATCCCCCACCTCCTGAGATAGTAAAAGACCTCTTCCTAGAAGAATGCTTAATGAAAAGTTTACAAAGGATGAGGAGAAATGCTCAGCAAAATTTCAGTAAGAAAAGGGGGAGGGACACTTTGAGACAATTCTACAAGTGAAACGCCCCAAGTAACTCCAGCCTTGCCATCATGTGTTGACGATACCTCGGCTAACAGAATTCGTCGAAAAGCATTGGCAATGGCTGCATCAATTCCCACCATGTCAAACTCCAGTGAATTTTCATCCATGTGTACCACATCCACACGGAAATTCTAGATGGACAGGAAAAACATTAAGTGAAGCCTGCTCTCTGTGTGATCTCTCTACAACTCCCCCCTGGATAATTCCCTCAATGCATTACCATCCTCTCTCATCCAAAAACCTCCCTTTGCCCAACTGTCCCTTATGAGGTGTTCTTCCTCCCCCATCCTTTCTTTAGTTTCTTGACAAGTTTTTATCTTCCACTCATTGAAAACCCTATGCAATGTGGCTTCCAGATAAAGCAAATAAAGAAGCTATTCTACTTAAGAACAGAAACTTCCATACTCCTTAGTCGAGTTAATGCTACTCAATCCTTATCTTCCTATTGACATTATCTGGCATTATTTTTACTCGGCATTATTGACAAAATCTCCCTTTTTCAAACTCCCTTGGTTTCTGAGCATCAATCTTGTTCTCTTTCTTCTCTAATGATTCCTTCTAAATTCACTATCTTCCACCCACCCCCCAAATATCACTATTTTCCAGGTGACCTCAACCACACTCGTGGTTTTAGCAACTACCTGTACTGTTGGGAAAATATAGGAAAATAGAGCCCCTCAGATGTTTGGAATCTTGCCAAGCATTTGATGTAAATATGCACGTACACCCAGGTGTTCCTTGGTTATTGTCTAATGTACTTGCATATGTGCACCCAGGTGTCCTGGATTATGGACTTAAGTATAAAGGACTAACGGCTCTGATACACGGTGCTTCTCAGGACGCTCCAGGAGGCCACTAGGACAGCTGCTCCTAGGTCTGAATAAAGCTTAATAATTTTTTTTTTTTAACCCAGGGCTCCCAGGACCTTTTCCTATTACCTAGCTCGTAGACCTGTGTGTGAAGGGTTTGTGACCCAGTCTGTACAACGGGCTCGAGGGGTCCGTGAGCCCAAGCCCTAGCTTAACACTGTACTAACTCCCAAATTTTTAACTCACTTCTGATTTCATTTCAAAGGTATAGTCTACTAGCCTGCTAGATTTCTCCAAATACAGGAAACTGAATGCATTATCATTCTTCCCCAGACCCATCGCGCTTTATCAGTAAATGACACCACCATCCATCAGAGCAGTTTCCCCAAGCTGGGTCTTCTTACGCTCCTTCTTCACAGCCCTTATCAAAGCAATCACAAAGTTACCCTCAATCCCCACTTTGCTCTTTTTCCACCATCACAGTCTTATTAGTTCCTATTAGGTTCCTTCAACCTCAGCTCCCCTACACAGTCTAACAGATCTGCCTGCCCTATATATGATCCCCCTCAAATTCATTCTCTCCCAGCCATCAAGGTTGCAAATCTGACGTCTGCTTAAGAATTCCTCAAAAGCTCCCTGGTACCTACAGTACCTAAGATGCACTCCAGTGTTGCCTACCACTCACGCAGGCCTACTTGACATTCCAGCAATAATGAATTGCCTTGACATTCTGGGAATGTCCAGTGCCTTCCTAATTCAGCTCCTCTTTTTAATCCCCCTCACTCTTCGCTGTTCTCAACTTTTACTCATCGTTCAAGCCTAAATCCAGATGTCATGAAATCTTATGTACCTCTCTGGCCCCACTACCTATTCTAGATTAAGTGACTGGGGGATACCCCCCACCCCATCCCCGCCGTCCTTACCGCTAGCAACCGCTGACAGGACAGAAACCGTTTCTAATTTGGCCTGTATACGAAGTGCCTAGCACATTGCTCAATAAACGTTTTACAAATGGAGCTTTATTACAAGAGCAGCTTCCGAGGCACAGGCTGCTCAGATCACACGGTCTGGCCCTCATATCCTCTCCGGACACCTCTGGACCCACCCACCTTCTCGAAGCGGTCCTGGTCCCAGGCATCATCATAACTGGAATAGTTACCGGGAAAGTCAGTGGTATGAACCTAGATCAAAGAGAAACGAGTCTGTACACGAAGAGGATGCGAGGTTAAGCCCGTTCCCACTCCGATCCAAACCCATCCCTGTTCCGCTCTCATTTCTCCTCCTGAGCTCAAGGCCACAAGGCTTACATTGCGAACGCCGAACTCCCCTAGAACCACGCGGCTCCGCATTTCCTCTACCGCCTGAGCAGCCGCCATCTTCAACCTCAAACTGGCGCGTGCGTTTGATAGCCCTCCTCCGTCTCCGTAGTAACGTACCGCCTCCGGGAATTTTAGGTATCGCGAGACTTTCGCCCGCCTCCGTCCACGTCCCCAGCTTCCGGAAGTCAGTATTGGCCAAACATCCGGGTTTCTCTTTTTTGCGTTCCGGCTGGTCCCACCTCTCCTTCTCGACCCTGGACATCTCCCTGCCTCAATCCCACGTTTCGCCCACTCCTCCTCCGCGCGCGGGGCTCGAGCGGGCTCCAGCGACGGGAGCCCTCAAGGGACATGGCAACTACGGCAGCGCCGGCTGGCGGCTCCCGAAACGGAGCTGGCCCGGAATGGGGAGGGTTCGAAGAAAACATCCAGGTAATGGCCCCAGTGCTCCCGGCGGCCGTCCTGAACTGTCGTGGGGATTTTCTGTCGGGGCCTGGAAATCTCCATTTGCTACAGTTTTTCCTCTCCTTTGGGTCTTCGTGCACGCGAAAGTCGTTGGGACTAGTGCTGACAAACCCAGACTAGTACTCCAGCCGGAGGACCTCGGGTCTGTGGGCCCGCCTGAGGCGTTAGGAAGAGTGTGCGCTTGCTTTCGGGACAAGTTAGGAAGTCGGTCGGGGTTAGGCATGGTATGGGGGTGTGCAGGATTCACAGGCACTCGCTAAAAAACTTAGTGTGTATAGTCTTCTTTGGGACTGGGGAAATACAGAGGAAATGGGCGTTTTTCCAGCCCTTTCAGGCTTTAATAGGAACGTTAGGAGAAAGACACGAATGAAAGACAAGTAGCGGGTTTCCTAGGCTAGAAAAGAAAGCCAAAACTAGCTATCAAGTGTCCTGAGAGCAAATGAGGGAGAAGAGAGCGGCATAATCTGTAGTGATTCGAAGCCATATCCTCAGCAGTGGAAGAACAAAGCCCCAAACCCTGGGATATGCAGAGGAGGACTTAATGGATGGAACAGAAAGGTCTTGCATTCAAGGAGCCATTGTCTTCACAGGGTGGGGGCTCAGCTGTGATTGACATGGAGAACATGGATGATACCTCAGGCTCCAGCTTCGAGGATATGGGTGAGCTGCATCAGCGCCTGCGAGAGGAAGAAGTAGACGCTGATGCAGCTGCTGCCGAAGAAGAGGATGGGGAGTTCCTGGGCATGAAAGGCTTTAAGGGACAGCTGAGCCGGCAAGTGGCTGATCAGGTAAGCAAGATTTGATCGCTGGCAGGTGGAAAAGTATACCTAGGCATATCCCATGTTCTGGAGTTGGTGCTGGTGATGTTCACCCCAGGTTGCCCGATTAGAAGTCCAACAGAAAATAGGCAACAGGGTCTAGAGCCAAGACTCTCACAAGACCCGCATTTTCCTTACTTCAGATGTGGCAGGCAGGGAAGAGACAAGCCTCCAGGGCCTTCAGTTTGTACGCCAACATCGACATCCTGAGACCCTACTTTGATGTGGAGCCTGCCCAGGTGCGAAGCAGGTGAGGATCCTTCTCCTGACAGAAACTTCCCTCAACACCTAGTCCTTCATCCAAACTACAGTCAGATACCAAGCCCTGAGCTCTGATGGGCTCCCCTTTTTAATGGCCCTATTACCCCTCATCACTGCACCTGTCACTGAACACAATATGGCAATAACTTATTGCCTTCCTCCTCTTTTCCATCTAGCAGGCTACTCACCTTCCTTCAAAACCTAAATCAAATGGCACTTCCTTTGTTCCACATTCCTCAGCCCCATCCCCATTTTGTTCCTCTTGGTGCTCCCATAGACCTGTGCACCTTCCTCTAATAGCACTTCAACACCGCTGTACTTTCTTATTCCTGGGTCTGTCTTTGGAGAAACCAACAGCTCCTCAAAATGAGGCTCTGTCTTGTTTATGTTTTTATTCCTAGCACCAGAACAGTCTCTGAACCAGAGTCCATAGTTTTTGAGTGACTTCAAGAACTGGATTTCGGGCCGGCCCGTGGCTCACTCGGTAGAGTGCGGTGCTGATAACACCAAGGCCATGGGTTCGGATCCTATATAGGGATGGCCGGTTCGCTCACTGGCTGAGTGTGGTGCTGACAACACCAAGCCAAGGGTTGAGATCCCCTTACCGGTCATCTTTTTAAAAAAAAAAAAAAAAAGAACTGGATTTAATCTAGACCAAGTTCTTTGTTTATCCTTTGATTTAATCAATGCTTACCAGATAACCAGGGACACCCAGCAAGTATTTATTAAGCATTTTCTCTGTGCCAGGCACTATACTAATGGTGTCTGATTCAGTGGTGAATAAAGATGGTAGCCTTGCCCCCAAGTGCAGTTACAATGCTATGTACTCATGTGCTATGCTATGAGATGCTATGTACAGTACTCATGCTATGACAGGGCACACGGGAAGGCCACCTGAGCCAAAAGTAGCCTAGTGGGTGGACAGGGCAAGTTTCCCAGAAGAAATAAAATCTGTTAGTAGAAGCTAGTCACTTAAGAGAGTGGGGAAGTGACTTGTACTTTTATTCCTTCTGTGTGGAATTTGCATACCACTTCAAATATATTTTACAGGAAAATGCTCAGCAGTGCCTGGAGGAATGGTAAGCAGGAAGCGTAGTGGTTCCCTCAGTAACACCTTTCCTTCTAAACCTTTCCCAGGGCTTCACCATCACAGCTCTGAATTCAGGGTACTCTCTGCTGAGGTTTGCCTAAGGGGAGCGGGCCAAATAGGTAAACGGTCCCTCTCCCAAGGCCCAGCTGGGCTCTGAGATCTCCTTATAGCTGCTGCTTCAGTCAGGTCAGTTTCAGAGGGTTGTCCTTCCTGGAATTATTTTTAGGGCAAAGAAGTGATTTCCTCATTCCCTATCTGTCTTTACCACCCTTTTCTCCCCCTATCATCCAGCATGTCTTGTGGGCCAGGCCCCCATTCCATGGAGTTGGAGAGATGAATAAGATTCAGGCCTTGCCCTCCAGAACCTCATAGCCTAGTGCTGTCACTGCTCTCATCTCATCTCTCTTCTCCTCTCCCAGGCTTCTGGAATCCATGATCCCTATCAAGATGGTCAACTTTCCCCAGGTGAATAGGGAGTGGCATGTCTGGAGAGCTGGGGGAGGCACCAGAGCTAAGGGTGGGGCCACCAGGCAAAGCCTGGGAAGGCATAAACAAGAGCCATTGTACCCTCCAGACTGAATGAGTTGGTATATTGTCAGAAAATTGCAGGTGAACTCTATGGACCTCTCATGCTGGTCTTCACGCTGGTTGCCATCCTTCTCCACGGGATGAAGACATCTGACACCATTATTGTAAGCAGGACAGAGAACTTTGGGAGGGTGGCTGAACTGGGTTGAAAGCTGCCCAAGGGGAAGATGATGTCTGGAGCGAGGCAGGGGCAGCCCCTGAAGGAGATACCCTGGGTGAGGCTGAGATCAGAGGCCTCCCAGGACTAAATAGAGCCTTCACTCCACAGCGGGAGGGCACCCTGATGGGCACAGCCATTGGCACCTGCTTCGGCTATTGGCTGGGTGTCTCATCCTTCATTTACTTCCTTGCCTACCTGTGCAACGCCCAGATCACTATGCTTCAGATGCTGGCACTGCTGGTAAGGAGCCAGGCATGGTGGTGGGCAAGGGTAATCTTAAAAAGAGTAGCCAAGCCTTGGTCTGCGTCTGTACTGGGGCCCCAGAGCCTAGAATGGGAGGAAGCCAGTGGTCCATTTAATTCCCAGGATCCCCAGGAAGGGCCAGAGGCCAGCCCAGCCTGAGTGATTTTCCTCTCCACCATCCTCCTTCCCAGGGCTATGGCCTCTTTGGGCACTGCATTGTCCTGTTCATCACCTATAACATCCACCTCCATGCCCTCTTCTACCTCTTCTGGCTGCTGGTGGGTGGGCTGTCCACCCTGCGAATGGTAAGCTGGGCAAGAGATTTTCAGGGTTGGGCCGTCCTCCCAGGGATTTGGAGCAGACAGCCCAGAGTTGTCCAACCCACAAAGGGCTCTAAATGGGAGGGAACGGCCCAAAGATGATTCTGCCCTGGGTGGGGGTATCTTCTCCCCATGCATCACTTTGGAACCAGGCCCTCTGAGCTGTGTTCCTATGGCCCTAGGTGGCAGTGTTGGTGTCACGGACTGTGGGTCCCACACAGCGGCTGCTCCTCTGTGGCACCCTGGCTGCCCTGCACATGCTCTTCCTGCTCTATCTGCATTTTGCCTACCACAAGGTGGTAGAGGGTAAGTGGCAGGAGGACCTGGGTTAGGGAGAGCAGAAGAACAGCTGCCTAGGGCAGAGGGCTAAATGAGATGGCCTGTGCGCTGGGCCCAGCCAACTCTCACTCACCTTTCATCCTCCTCCTTTCAGGGATCCTGGACACACTGGAGGGTCCCAACGTTCCGCCCATGCAGAGAGTCCCCAGAGACATCCCTGCCATGCTCCCTGCTGCTAGGCTTCCCACCACTGTGCTCAACACCACAGCCAAGGCTGTCGCGGTGGCCCTTCAGTCACACTGACCCTACCTGAAATCTTTGGCCAGCCCTCTCTCCCCCAGCTGCAGAGTGGAGGAAGATTAAAGGACAGATCTGATGACATGTGACTCTTTGATGGGGTCTGCAGCTGCCACTGAGCTGTAGCTGCTTAAGCACCTCTTTGATGCCTGTAGCGGCTTCTGAAGGGCACAAGGCCAGCTCCTGGCCAGGACTGCAAGGCTCTGCAGCCAGTGCAGAAAGTGGGTCAGCTCCACTGAGGCCCCCTCACCACCTACCCCTTCCTTCCTCTTTTATCTCTCCCATGTTGTCTTGCTAAATATAGACTTGTTAATTAAAATATTGATTGAAGTCTGGAACTGCACCTACCATTCCAGTAATTTCCCTGACACCCTAATTCCTGTACACTTTTCTATTCTTCTGTCAGCAGTGGTAATGTCACGTGTTCCCTTACTTGTACCCTCACCCAGACAGGATGAGGTTGGGACAGTCTACATAGAAGGCAGTGATTGAATATGGAACCTACCCCTGAGGGCAGGGGACATCTGACCCATGGAGCAGCAGGGAGGCCTCAAGCACAAGAGTCATAAGTTTGATGGAACAGAACACCCAGCTTGAGCCTGGACTCAGCTGCACTCTTGGGAAGCCAATGGAGCACCGACAATAGGACACAAACTTCCAGACTAAACCCCATGTCATTACAAGACCTTCTGCACCTGGGCCGTTGTGGGGATAATTTTCTTACGGAGCTCACACTTGAAGCCAAACTTGCCTATGCCCTCGTTTTACTGGGGCCAGCTACCTTCAAGAGTTTTTCTTTGTCCTTTTCAAGAGTGCTGTTGACTCTCAAAAACAACCACCACCCCTAGTATAGCACCACGAACTCCCCCACCCCCTTAATCTCCAATTAAGAAGTTAGTTCAGGTGGTTAATAGAATAGGACTTCTGACCTCCCTACACTATACAATATATATTTTTAAAATCCTCTCATTACTAAGCTGGTTCAGCAGCATCTTTCCCTCCTAATGAAGGGACTAGCAGAAAGAAGTGCCCTTCATTTGTCCCGTTATACAAGTGAGGCCCTCCGCACCATCGCCAGTGGACAAAGTTCTAACAGCACTGCCTGCACTATGCAGTGTGCCCCAGTCGACTTTACACGGGCCCCCGCCGTTCCACGTCGCTAATCCTAGCAGACCTCTATATTGGCTACCCTGGTCTCAGTGGCACTGAGGCAATCTCAGGGTATCAACTGCCCTACGCACCTGGGGAGGGGCGACGCCAGGACCCTACATCTACCTGAGGCTTACCGCCCTAGGGAACCTTCGGGGTTCCCTTGTTCCTGGCAGCTCAGGCTGGGTCTGCCCGGCTGTAGCCCCTGGGGCCTCCTCGGCGAGGTCGCCATCTTGGCGAGGAGCGAGCGGGGAAGTCCTCGCGGGCGGAATCCCCACGCACGGGGCGTGCTGCGTCACGGGGGCGGGGTGGGGCGCGGATTAAAGGACCCTGGGGACTTCCAAACCGGAGGCTGGGGAGTGCTCGGGATCCTGGCGAAGCCGCTGAGGGTGTGGACCTTAAGAATGGGGAACGAAGGGAGAAAGGGCAAAAGAACCAGTAACAGTGTCAAACGTCACCTCCACGTGACAAGCTTCCATTCCCCACTCACTGCCACCCCTCTCCACCCCCTGCCGTCCTAGGCCCTATCCTTGCTACTTTCTACCTCCCGTCTGGCCCCATACCCAGAGCAAGAGTGTCCCACAGCGGCGAGTTCCTGGCCCGCAGCCACCCGCTGTGCGCGAACCTCGTGGGCCGGCGGGGCCGAGGCCGGCTGGGGGGCGGGGCGAGCGGCTGTGACGCGACCGTTGCCATGGGAACCCACCGCCCGCTCCGGCGCAGGTGCTGAAGGGGCTGCAGCTAGCGGTCCGCCTGCGGGTTTCGGCTCTACCTGCGAGTCTTGCGGCCAGGCCCCTGGGGCAGCAGGGGGAGCCGGGGCAGAGACAGGGAGAGAGGGGTGCGGTTTCTGAGCTGGGACCGGCCGGTCCCGCGCGTTTTAAGCCGCCGCCACCGCAAGGGACGAGGACAAGCGTGGAGCTGCGCCCGCCCAGCACCTGGATCGCGCAACCCGTCCCGCCGCTCAGACACGGACTGCACGGTCCGCCTCCGCCCCAGCGCCGCTAGGTCTCAGGTCTGACAGCGACCTCGGCGCCTCCGCACGCCTGGCCGGGCCTCGGCGCTCTTCCCTGCCTCCGTCTCCTCCGCTGCCTTTGCCTCAACCGCAGCCGCAGCCGCAGCCTCCGCCCCCGAACGTCTGGGATCCCAGCCGGGGCCCAGGCAGCAGCCCCGGCCTTGGCCTCCCCCGCGGCCCCGCCAACCTGCGCCCCGGCCCCGGAGGCCCGGCGGTGGGCACGATGCTGCCCAGCTCAATCCAGATTTCGGGGGAGCCACTGTCAGGCGCCGAGGTGCGGGACATCTGCCGCGGCCTGCGCGACAACGCCGTGCGCCTGCTCTCACTGCGCGGCTGCCGCCTCTGCGACCGCGACTTCGGCCGCATCTGCCGGGCCCTGGCCGGGGCCACATCCCTAGCTCAGCTCAACCTTAACCTGGGCGTCGTGTCCAGCCCCTGCCGCATCAAGCAGTTGGCGGAGGCTCTGCGGACCAACCGCTCCATCCAGTCCCTCTTGTGAGTGCGCCCCTCCAAGGGGGTCCCTGGCACTGCATCCTCCGCGGACTTCCCTGCCACCTCCTGTTCCTCCACACACCTTCCAGCGCCTGTCTTTCCACCAGCCTACCTTCGCCCCTCTTATATGTGCGCCTCATCCCTCTGCCCAGGCCTCCACAACACTCTCCAAGCACGCCTTATCTCTGGACTTTGCACACACGGCTCCACCCGCATTTGCTTCGCAGGGACAACTCTTCAGTTTCCCAGAAGGAATACTCCCGTGGAGACTAGAACCCTGCCCCTACATTCTGCCCACTGAAGAATTGTAGTCCACCACCCACACACCCCTTCTCTGCCCCTTCCTGTGCAGTGTCCTGAATCCCAGTCCTTGCCCCAGAAAAGAAACCTAATTCCCCTTCTACCTGTATTCCCTTAGAATCTAGAATTTTCTTTTTCCCTTCCCAGGCCTCTCTCAAGTGCTGTGACTGAGTGTCCTCCCCACCCCTAGGGCTTCCATAAGGGGAGGACCCCCTTCCTCATATAGATGGCTACAATAACTACTCTTTTGCCTCACCCCCAGCCTGCACGGGAGCCCCCTGACAGATGCAGGGCTGGCTTTGCTGAACCCAGCCCTGGCACTCCACCCTGCCCTTGTGGCTCTAGACCTGGGGGACTGCATGCTGGGTGACGAAGCCATCAACCTCATCTGTGGCCTCCTCCCCCCAGATGGGGCCAAATCTGGTGAGCAGGGCCCTGCTAAGGGCATGGGCTGGTGTGGCCTTGATGAAAAGCTAAGTGCAGAGGGAAGGGGGTGTGTCCCAGAGCCGAGAGCTCTGATGGTGTGGGTGAGAGTGTCTTTTACTCCTCTCAGGAAGAAGGATTGGGGACTGAGCAGGGTGGAGACTCAGGAACCCAGGCTGTGGTGGCATGGGTCCTTCATGGCTCTGCAATTCTGTGGTGGGGGTGGGGTGGCTTCCAGCCACTAGGGTATATCCCAGAGACACCAGGCAGAGAAGGGACTCAAGGAGGGCCTGACCCTCTCCATCCTGGACTTCTTGCTGTGATGCTGCCCAGGCTTGAAGGAGCTAACGCTGAGTGCCAACCCTGGCATCACCCCTAAGGGCTGGAGCCGCCTTGCCATTGCTGTGGCCCACAGCTCCCAGGTCCGCGTCCTCAATCTGGACTACAACCCCCTGGGTGAGATTCAAGAACATCCCCTTCGGTTCCCACCGCCCAACATCCTATCCAAGAATTTGGGACCATCAGTTGCCATGGTAACTCCCAAAATGGGGGAGTGAAGAGGAAGGAGAGCCCCCAGGGGTCCAGGAAGTAGTAGAGGAGCCATCATGTGTGGGGGACCAGATGATCAACAGTAGATCAAAGCATCAGTCACCACCTGTGGGCCTGGCTTGCTTTATCCTTTCACTCATCAATCACAATGCTATCCACCTAATCACCCACCAATTGTCAGCATTTCCTGGCCAGGGGGTGGGATCTAAGATTGTTATGGCAATGGGGAAGCTGTCTGGGAGGAAGGCTAGCAGGCCTGTGTGTGAATACAGGTGAATGTGTGTGTGTATGATGTCTCCCCAGGTGACCATGTGGCAGGGATGCTGGCTGTAGCTGTGGCTTCCAGCCGCACCCTAGAGGTCCTAGACTTGGAGGGCACAGGGCTCACCAACCAGTCAGCTCAGGTGAGGAGTCATGTTTGGGGACAAGCCAGGGGATAAGTGGAGGTTAGTGTGTCTGTGGACATACCTAAGGGTGGCAGGTTGGGGCCTGAGGACCTCCTTAACTGTGTTCATCCTTTTCCATGCTCTTCCCTACCCCAGACCCTGCTGGACATGGTAGAAAATTACCCCACGGCCTTGCGGAGCTTGGTGTTGGCTGAAAACAGCATTAGCCCAGAGCTGCAGCAACAAATCTGTGACCTCCTCTCTGAGGGGGAGGAAGAGGAAGAGGTGGCAGGAGGGACTGGCAACACCCAGGAATGGGAGAGAGGGCGGGAGCCTGCTGCCCATGAGAGGGGCAGTAGCTCCTGGATGTGCCCCAGCGGTAAGAACCCAGAGGGTTGGTCAGAGCCAGGTCTGGAAAAGGCTCAGGGCAAGGGAGAGTGGGTGTGGAAAATCTCTCACCTATTTGTGGCCCCCAGTGAAGAAAGAAATGGTGACCTGAACACTCCTCTGCCCTTCCACAGATCCCAGCTCTCAGATGGTGCTAGTGACATCAGGACTAGGGGACAGTCTGTTGGCTGAGACCGAGATGTGACTCTCCATTTGGGCTTCTTCACATCATTACATTTGTTTGTGTCCCCAGAACCTTGCCCCAGACAGGTATCAGGGTCAAGCCCTGGGGCTTGGGAGGGAGGAGGGGAAGATGCCTGGGGCTCTGGCAGCTCTCGGCAGTGTGGTGGGAGACTCTGGGAGCTGTAACTGGGCAACAAACAGCCTTGGGGGGCACTTGAACCCAGGGCAGTGCCTCTGGACTTGTTGGCAGCTCTGGCTGCAAACCACTGGCTCTGAAGAGATTTTATGAACTCCACAACCTGGCGCGTGGCTGTGGTCACTGGGGACTGGCACTAGGGGAGGAATTGAAACTACCAATAAGCACCACTAGGGAGCAGTATCACCCCACAGCCCAAGCTCCAGGCAGCGTGCATTGCTCCCAAATCTCTCTTGGAACCTAGGACCTGGGGTTCTGGGATGACACCTTACACAAACCCAATAAAGACTGTAGTTAGAGACCACGTCTAGAGCTGAGTTGGACTAGACCCTACCTCCAAGGGGATTCAGGGTCCCTGCTAAGATTACTTGAGGTACCCCCTCTGCCACTGTCTGATAGTGCATCCAGGGAAGCCCCAGGCAGAGTGGGGCAAGAGGGAGTCACTGGCAAAGACTAGGACAAGACTAGGACCAGGAACACTCAAGAATGGGGAGAAGAGTGGGAGAGGGAAAGTCGTTAAGACAAATTAGGCCATACCAGTAAAATAGCTTTATTTGATTTTAAAATAGTCGTCAATGAGAAAATTTCCCAAAGCTGGGAGTAACAGTCTAGAGCCAAGGTTGAGAGGGGGGCCAGAGCTCACCCAGAGCCCAGCTTGATGCCCTGAACCCCACCCTCCCTTCCAGAGGGAGGGAGGAAATGGCTGAGGGGAGCCCTGAGTCAGTCCTCTCCCTCATCCCCGAGGGCCAGCTGTGCCAGGCCCCTTGAGGACAACAGCTCATGCAGATAATTTAGGGGAGAGGAAAACAGGCAGAAAACAGAAATTAAAGGTTAATAACCCCAAAGAAAGCCCTAACCCACCCCCCCAAAAAACAAAACCCATGAATATGAAAGGAAAATGATGAACACTGATAAATCTCTCAGCTCCCCAGAACAGCCTGATCTGGGCTGGGCTGATTGGAGGAAAGGGCTTGAGACCCAACCACATGTAACTTTTGGAGAATAAATATTCCAAAAAGGAAAAAACCATGAGGCAAATAGGTGCCATTCACAATCAATGCAGCTGAAAGGCCTGGCTTGGCCCACCACCTGACCCCACCTACACAGGGAACAGAGCTATTCAGGTCTGGAGAGAGGAGTTCAAGATCTTGGCCTGGGAACCCTGAGCTGCAAAGGTGTGGGCCCTCTGTGCAGTCCCAGTGCAGCAGTGGCAGGAAGGCAAGCAGGGGCCCTAGTTGAGCAGGTTGCCCTGCTCCTGGGCTTGGGTCAGGCTGTCCTTGCGGTGCAGGTGGTGCACCCCCATCCTCTTGGGGCTGCGCTGGGGACGGCTGGAGCTGGGGAGTGGCCAGACCCTACCCTCAGTGTGGGAAGAGCCAGGCCCCTCCTCTGTGCCACTATTACTGGGCAGCAGGCTCTGGCGCTCTTCCTCAGGGCTGGTGGGCAGGTTCAGCTCTTCCTCTTCCTCTTCCCTGGGAAAGCCAGAGTCAGGTTCTGTTGGTAGCAAAAGCCCACTCTCATCAGGTAGGGAAGAAGGTGCCTGAACCACCTCCTCTCTCTCAGTGGGGCTAAGGGCAAAATGGTGCTGTAGCTCAGGGAGGGCATCACGTCCAAAGGCTGTGCGCTGGGTCAGGGTGGCAGGTGGTGGGGTGCGGTCCACAAATGCCCGCTGCCAGCTAGCAAGCAGGTCCTCTTCAGAGCTGGTGGAGCTGGCTGGGGCACTGAGTGATGGGGGGGCGGGACTGGGCTGGTGGTGGGGTGAGGCCTGGGCTGAGGCAGGGCTGCTGGGCACTGGGCTAGGGCGGGTCCGCTCACTCCCCTCTTCCACCAGGCTCAGTGAAATGGCCTGGCGCGTAGCGTAAGTGCAGTTGGGCAGGGGGCTGTTGCGGGGGATACGAACCTTATCCTCAGAGAACTCTATTACCTTGCGGCCAGGGTACAGTGAGTGTGGCGGAGATGGGGTGGGGTAGGGGCTCAGCTTCTCAAAGGCTGGCAGAGGCAGCTCCTCTTCTGGGGAGCCCCCTGCAGTACCCAGAGAGTGGCACTCCCCATTAGGTTGGGGGGTGGGGCTGCCAGGGACCGGGGAACTGGTGGGGTCATCTGGGGCAACCCCACTCATGTCCACATGCACAAAGACATCCTCAGCCAAGGGACGACCAGTACTGCCTGACTGGGCTGAATTGAGCATTAGAGACTCTGGCTTCTCCAACACCCGAGCAATGACCGAGGTAGGCACCACAGCCCCTGGGGCCAGGCTGGAAGCAGGACCTGGGCTGGCAGCCTCTGGATCACTGTGCAGATGCTTCTGAACCATGTCCTGTAGCTCACAGGGCAGCTGGGATAAAGGAGGAGAAGAGAAGAGAGACATGAATGATCCTGACTGAAGATAGCTTACCTTATGGCAAAACTAATGGCTTCCATGTACAAGTACCACTGTGTGTTCAGCACTATGCTATCTCCTGTTCTCACACCATGCCAATGAATAACGTCATTTCGTAGATAAACAGGCTCAGTAGGGGTAAGATAACTTTTTTTATTAACAAAGCCAAGATCTGAACCCAACTGTGCTGCTGAAGACTGCATGCTCTCAACCTTCTATCTCCCCACCTCGGCAGTGGCTTCTGCCCAAACTGGACTAAGTTTGGAGAATCTGTACTGACCAGCAGACTTAGAAATACTTCAACCTTGGACCTGAGGCTCTGGGGTCTAGAGTTTGCCCCTTGGAATAATGCCTAATACTCTTTCAATACTCTTACAGCCGACAGCTCTGGCTACCCCTGTCTTCCTGCACGGGATCCTAAAATTGAATCCCTCTCCCCCATCTCTGTTACAGAACAGCATTAGGGCTAGCCCCCCAGCACTAGTGATGGGGCCTTGACAGCACACAGGACACCAACCAGTGGCAGAGTTGACTGGCTTGAGAGGTGACACAGAGGAAGGCAAAGTGGAAAGGGGGAGGTAAAGGCACGAGGAGGGAGGGAGGTGCAGAAACTGGAGTTAGAGGAGTCGCACAAAGGCTGGGATGGTATTGGGGGGAGGGAGGAATGTGCTCTACTCACATCAGCGAACTTGTGGTTACGGAAGTGGGACTTGTTGCACTGGAGGAGCTGCACAGCCAGGTTGCAGTCCAGCCGGTACCGCTCCTACAGACAGAAACCTGCTTCAGAGTCCAGCCAGCCCTGCCCAAGAGCAGGGCTGGGCAAGGACAAAGCTGGCCACTGGTGAGGAAGGCCCCCAGCACATGAAGAACATACATTGAGCTCCTCCAGCTTGTTGATGGTGTTCTTGGCATCCAGCAGCTTGTTGGTCAGCTCCACGATCTCCCAGTCCAGTGTCTTCCTGTCCATCTCAGCCTTCTGGATCTGAGGCAGACTTGTGGTAAACCCAGCCCATACCCCAGCCAGCCCTTCCTCTCCCTTCACCTCCTCCCAGCCCACAGACATAGGAGGCCACAGGTGCTAGGGCAGCCAATGCACACAGAGCAGACAAATGACGGACAGACAGAAGAGATTGGGCACTTCTCCTGCTCTCTGGCTGGCTATGGGGTGGGGGCTTTCTGAGCATGACCTACTGCCTGCCACCTGGGCCCAGGACAGAGGCAGTATAAGAGTGGCCTGTCCCTGAAGAAGTTTAAGGGGCTCTAGTACTAAGCAAGGCAGCTGGTACCTCAGAGGCAAGAACTGGAAACCAGGGGGCTGAAGCCTACATGTGCAGCTGATTCCAGGATAGGGCTAGGAAGAGAGGGGAGAGAGTGGGGCTGGGTGGCAGCTCAGGGCGCCTGTGAGATTATCTAGCTGAGCATGGAGAGAGCCACAGGCTCAGAAGTAGCCTTCTGATCTTCAGCTCATGGACCGCATCTATAGCCTCCCTTCCCCCCAAATAGCTTGGGCTTGCTGCCACTGCAGCTGAGAAGCTCTGAGTGTTCAGTGGTGACATAGATCAGTACCTCTGCTGGAGGCAAAAGTAGGCTCCCCAGCTCTCTCCCAGGATGGAGGCACTGACTACTGAACAGGCCACCCACATTTAAGAGGAAAGGAGTGGGTGTACTTGAGGGGCAGAGGGAAATAGCCAGGGCCCTGCTATCCTGGATCTCAGCTGAGGAGGAGACCAGGGCAGGGGAGAAAACACACAAACTCAGACGCAACTGCAAAAATCCAGCTGTGGCTAAGAGAGGCCTGAGAGGAGAGTGCAGCAGCAACGGTGGCAGCATGAGGAGGAAGACGAGGAGAGAAGAGAAACAGTGTGAGCATTAAGACAGTCCTGACTTGCACAGCACACTGCGGTCCCCTCCCCACAACTGCCCCATCCACCCATCTCTTCCCCAAGCCCCAGGGCAAAATAGCATTCCCTGGGCAAGTCCCAGCGCCCTGCTATGCTGTGAGCACAGTACCAGCCAAACTGCTCTCCTGAACAGATTACCAGCGTGTGCAGCTTGTCCTCCAGCTCCTGGTTGGTCCGCTGTGAAGCAGTGTAGCTGTTCTGCAGCCTATAGAGAGGTACAAGGCAGAACCTTGGGTCAAGATCCTGTTCTTCAGGCCCTGCTCAGCCCCTCCTCAATATGGGATCCTGGGCAAGTCACTCTCCTCCCAGAACCTCAGTTTTCGAACCAGAATCAGATGATCTCTGAAGCTTCTTCCAGCTACCCTCCTATGAATGGGAAGATGCATGCGTGTGTCTGGCCCCTCATTCCCACACCTGCGGAACTTGTCCTTAAACTTGTCCAGCTCCTCGCGGCTCTGGCCCAGCTCCAACTCCAGGCAGTCCTGCCCAATTTCCAGCTCACGCTCCAGGGCCTCGGTGCGTCTGGTGGCCGAGGCCAGGCGCCGGCGAAGCTCTTCATTCTCCTGCTGCAAGAGCCTGGCAGGGTTGGGGGACAAGGGCAGAGGGGCATCAGAGATAGAAAGGCCAGCCCTGGAGCTTCAGGCTGGGCTCAGGAAGAAAGGATGACATAAGAACAGGCAACTGGGGGCAGTGAGACTCATGGAGACTTGGCCTGAATCTAGGGCAACATATCCCATAGGCCTGCTGGCCCTGAGAATACAGCCTGGGTTGGAGGGTGGCAGAGGGATGGTAGGGGAGTCCCACATCCCCCCACTACTGGAGAATAATGACAAGACAGAAATGGGAGGAGGGGTACAGCTCCTAGCCTGTCTCTGATTACAGCCCAAGCCAGCCAGCCACCAAGCCCCCAGCTCTAGTTTCTGTGCTGCACAATCGGGCTTCTCCATTATTAATCTCTTGGAAATCCAGCCCAGCACTGCCCTCCTCTCCAGAGTTCTCACATAGCTGACAGGTCTGCAGAGAGGCAGCTGGCACAGGGGGGCCACTCTGTTTTCTCTGGAGCCAAGAGCTGTGAAGGGCTCCTTGGCAAGAGCAGGCCCCTCAGAGCCATCCACCTCCTGATTCCAGGTTCTCTTGGGGCCCATGGAACAACAAAACACCCTTTTCCAGAAAAACTATCCACAATAGGAAGCCTCCTCCCAGAGTCCCTAAAACCCTCCATCCCAACCTTTACCTGTACTGAATCCAAGGAAAAGCCCAATTGTACCAACAACCTAGCCTGCAGCTAAGAGGAACAAAGTTGAGGCAAGGCAGTATCTCAGGCAGCAGATACTCACTTCATCCTTTCTGCATCAGTCAGGGGCTCCTAGGCAAAAAAACCCAGAAGCATAAGGCTCACCTTTGGACCACTGGCCTCCGAATTGGCCCACCCTCCAAACAGCCCTAGAAAGGGCCATGTCTGAAGCCCAAAGACTCTCACAGCAAAAGAGGGATTCAGGGCCCTCTAGAGATGGGAGCAATCCAGTAATACCTGGATAAGCCTAGATTACCCTCTCCCATGCCAACCAGAAGATTCAAGAACCCCTTCCAACCCTTACCCTTACTCCTAAAGCCACTTTCCAAACGGGTCCTGATACTCATGCTACCTCTCCCCAGGGATAAACAGAGCCTCTCGGCTATTCACTGGGCTCCTCGTGGACCCTGTCTCCACACAGGTGTGGCAGAAACCTTCCAGAGAAGTGAAGAAGTCAAGCTGAGCTATAGAAGAGTTCTGAGCTCTCACAAAGCTCTCTTGGCCCCCTGGGGGGAAGACACGGGCAGAATAAGGACCTTACAGAGGCTTGGGAGGAACAAGTACATGGGTGAAGGAAAGCCTTTGGGCTATTCCTGACTGAGAGGAGTAAAGTGTCTTGTCTTCCTTTTAATCTCCTGCTCCATCCTCCCCAAATCCCTATGTTGGTCATGGCCCAAGAGTCACAGCTCAGCCAACCACAAAGCAGAGCAGGCACATGTTATGGCAAGAGGGAAACATCAAGGGGCCTACTCCAAATGGAGTTGACTACTGAACTATAATCATCAGCAGAAAGATGAGGTGGGTGGCCCAGATCATGGACTTTGCAGCCACTGACAACTTTCATTTGACCCTATTCCACCTCGTACTGGCTATATGACCTTAACCTCACTGAACCTTAATTCCCTCATTTAAAAAATCAGGGGCTGCCTACTGGGTAGCACCTAGCACAATAACTCGCATTTTTATTTAACATTCCTTGAACTGAAATGAACAAGTCATGGCATTTCAGTCCTGAATCTGATCAAAGTAGGCCATGGTACACCTGATGCTCAGCATCTGCTGATTGTCTCTCAAGTTCATTAAATAAGCTCCATGCACTGCAACAGGGTGGAGACATGGCAGCAAGGCATGTAAACAACTGCAACACTCGTTAGTAAGCTTCATGAGGGGGGACAGTCAACTTGGAGTATATTTTGCAGTTGACTGTAGGCCTACTAAGAGCAGAGCCTGGACCTAACTCAGTTCCTGGCAGGAATACGTATTTAACACGTTAGCCAAAGGAAGCAAAACTGGAGGAAGGGCTGGACTTTCTGGGGACAATGAAGAGCAGCTGGTCTGGTGGAAAGTAGCTGGAGCACTGCCTCCTAATAGCCCCAAAGGGGCCACAGGTTGAATGGCTCTCCTCCACTGTGGAGGACCAGGGTTCCAGCCACCAGCGGTTAGGACCTCTCAGTCTGGTGGGCTGCCTCTTGTGGAAAGAACAATACTCTATGGGATCATTTTGGCTGAGCTACAAAGACTCTGGGGCTCCTTGACATGCGACATATACTCACAGATAGTCCACCATGAGCCACCATTGCCCCAGCCAGCACTGCTACAGCTAGAAGACCCCAGGCCTGTATTGGCAGTGCCATGCTCTCACCCCACCTTGGGACCAGAGCTCAGGTTGGAGAAGTCAGCCAGACACCCTGCCTCCAGCAACCTGCCTCTGCCAGCCAGGGCTGGGGTACCAGTTTGCTGACCTTCTGCTCGAGCCTGGATCCAGGAATTTCCAGCCGCAGCTCCCGATGCTCTGGTGGTGCCTTACGGTAGGGTTTCTTAGCAGGGGCTGTGCTGGTCATTCTGGGAGGTAAGGGCTCCTCCACCTGCTGAGGGGAAACAAGGAAGGAGGAGGCTCAGAGATGTGATCAAGAGGCCTCTGGACTGAGGAAAAAAAAAAAAAAAAAAAGCATGGTCAAAGGGAACATATGTAGGAGCCACCACATAGGCAGACAGGCCTGGGTCCTTGCTGGGGTCATGAGAAGGACTGGACATTGGTGTGTCAGTCCCCATGGGTTAGGGGAGTGCCAGAGGGTGGGACATGAATCTGATGGGGAACAGAAGGGTGGGAAAGGCAGGGCCTAGGGCCTGAGCACCAGCAAGAGTGGACTATGCTCTAAGAGTGAGGAAGGATGTCTAAAAAGCAGCCCATCACTCTCCTTTGTGAGCTTGGAGGGCCTCAGAGGGAAAAACTGCTCTCTATATGTTAGTTTTCTCAACTCTAATTTAGGGATAAGAATAGCACCAATTTCAAGGGTTGTTGTGAAGATTATATAAAGCACTAAGAATAGTGCCTGGCACTTAGGAAATATATAATAAACGTCAGCTTTTATTTTTATTTTTTTTAAAAGATGACCGGTAAGGGGATCTCAACCCTTAGCTTGGTGTTGTCAGCACCACGCTCAGCCAGTGAGCAAACCGGCCATCCCTATATAGGATCCGAACCCATGGCCTTGGTGTTATCAGCACCGCACTCTCCCGAGTGAGCCACGGGGCTGGCCCAAACATCAGCTTTTAAAAAAATTGTTTAACAATACCAAGGTGAAGGGTTCAGATCCCTGTACGGGCAAGCTGCAAAACAAACAAACGAAACTGTAACCAAAACATAAGGGTTTAAAAAGTGAATAAATAAGGGTTTGAGGATGTTCTCCCAACCCAGGCTCCTCAGTGGCAGTCTGCAAGCTCAAGAGAGGTCTCTGTCCTCCACCACTCTCTTTTCACCAGCCCCCACCAAGGGAGGACACCTGCCTGCCCCCTCACCTTTCAGCCTCCCCAGAAGACAGCCAAGTGGAGGGCACAGGCTTTGTCAGGGACATACCGTCTGTTTGTCGGCAGCTCTCTCTGTTCCGCTGTTCGGGAATCAGCCCTTGGCTCTCCGCATCCCACAGCTCCTCCACTTCCTCTAGCCAACAGCTCCTGAAACCAGAGAAGGGAAGAAAATGGAAACCAGTTGTCAGCTGCCTGTCTGTCAGTGCCACAGGCCTGTGTGCCCAGTCCAGGACCTAGAAGGCCCCCAAGGGAGAGCCGGGCAGGAAGGCCATGGAACAGGGGGCCTGAGGGGGAAATGGTGGAGGCGGGAGATGACTGCAAGTGCTGGGTTCCTGCCTTTCTCCATGACAGCACTGTCACAGGCCCAGATGAGACATGTGTCTGTGCATGTGTTCATGATCTCAGCTTACCACATGCCCAATTCTGGAACAGGTTTGCTTCTGTCTTGTCCCTATCCCTACCCCACATCTGTCCTGTTCATCTCCCGGGCTTCTCAGAGTCTGGAAACAAGAGATTTGGGGAACATAGACTGCAAATGAGAACACCAGGAAAAAGCCTAGTAGAGATGCAAGAAGATGGGCAAAGAAGATGCTGGAAAGTGAGCTCCTAGCAGTGTTACTACAAGGAGATGAAAGACGACTACTGTGTACAATGGTGGTCAACAGACTTTGCAAGGGGGTGGGGGGGAAGGGTAGGTCCAGGAGAGAAAAATCTGAAAAGACAGCAATTTAGAGCAATGGTTCTCACCCAGGACAATTTTACCCACCCCTCTGGCCTGAGGGATGTCTGGCAAATGTCTGGAGACATTTTTGGTTGTCAAAACCTGGGAGGGAGGGATGCTACTGGCATCTAGTGGGTAGAGGCCAGGGATGCTGTTAACTCTCTTACAATGCACAAGTCAGCCCCACAACAGAGAATTATCAATACAAAACATCAATAGTGCCCAGGCTGAGAAACACTGGTATAGAAAACCCAGGTCTGGGGCTGGCTGCTTAACTCACTTGATTAGAACATGGTGTTGTAACATGGTGTTCAAATCCCCATACCAGTCGGCTGCCAAAAGAAAACTCCCAAGTCTAGAGAGTTGAGAGACCCAGGTTCCTGGCTCAGCACTGTTTCTAACACACTGTGGGGCCCTGGGTAACTCTCTTCCTCACTGGATAAGCCTGTTCTTAATCTACACAGAGGTGGCTGGACTGAGTGACCTGTGAGGCCCCATCCAGGTTCCTGGGGTTCCAAGATCTGCCTGTATCCCTCCCCAGACCCAACCTGTAATAAGTTGGGCTGCAGCACGGGGGCAGCAGCCACCACAGTGATCAATGGAGGCAGTAACCTTAGGTGGCCTTCTGGGCATAAAAAACAATCTCGTCCCGCCCCCACCAACCTAAACAGAGCTGGAGGCTGAGGGAAGCCTTGCGGGATAAAGCATGTGTTCCTACTGTCGGGACATGCCCTGGCCATGACTCCTGTCACATTCCAGCAGGGCCTGGGGCAGGGAGAGCAGTGAAGGGGGAGGGAGGGCAGGGAAGCAGGAGTGGTCTCCTTCCTCTGTCTGGGCAGCCTGGTCCCTGGCTTGGAGTTCTGGGGGGAGCTGGGGTGTGGCAGCACAAGCAGGAGCTGCCAGCCTCTACCCCTTTGATGGGAGACAGAACGTGTCCCCACAGGGCACAAGCAGCATGCTGTGTAGGGCTGACTCCCTGCATAGGAATCTGGGCGGGCCTGAAAGGACAACACATTCCTGGGGTGTGGGGAGCAAACAAGTCACCCCACAGCTTCCCTGGGGCTGCCTCTCCAGAGGGCCCCAGGGTGGGGGCTCCTGTGTCCTGAGGGAGAGGCCCAGAAAGTCCCAAATCAGCCTGGGTACCAGGACTCTGATACTCAGGGGGTGTATGTGTAGTGGTGCATATGAGCTAGAAAACAAGGTAGGGCCAGAGACAAAGGAGTAAGAGAGACAGACAGTTAAGAGCTTCTACAAAATCAAGGGACAGCTCCAAAGAGTTGGCCTCTGCCTTTTCCCTTTCTCTCCAGAGAAACCAGGTTCCTGCTCCATTCCCTATCTGCTCCCCAGTCGGCTGAGTAACCCCATTCTTTCTGCAGATCACTCTGTGTGCCCCTTCCTCTATTCTCAGCCTCTTTACTTCCCTATCTCTATTCCCGCCAAAGCCCACACTGTCCTCTAGATACCAGGAAACCTGTATGAGCGGTGGGCAGCAGGGAGGACAGTGACATGCTCAGGTAACAGGTAATTCTACCTGTAAGGGGAGCTGCCTCACTTTGTGCCCCGCAGCCCTAGCTCTAAGTTGCCACACATCCTACAGCTATCCTGCCTTACCCTGACTTTAAGTCCCCATTCCCTGGCCCCACAGCACATAAAAGGGGTCTTCAAAAAGTCCATGGAAGGGGCCGGCCCGGTGGCGCACTGCTACAGTGCGCCACTTGGGAGCGCGGTGGCGCTCCCGCCGAGGGTTCGGATCCCACATACAGACCGGTTCCCGCTCACTGGCTGAGCGAGGTGTGGGGGCAACACCGAGGGCCGCGATCCCGTTGCCGGTCCCGGTCCGGTACGGGCGCGACACTGAGGGTTGCGATCCGTTGCCGGTCACGAAAAAAGACAAAAAGGAAAAAAAAAAAAAAAGTCCATGGAGGGGGCCGGCCCGGTGGCGCCCTGCTACAGTGCGCCACTTGGGAGCGCGGTGGCGCTCCCGCCGAGGGTTCGGATCCCACATACAGACCGGTTCCCGCTCACTGGCTGAGCGAGGTGTGGGGGCAACACCGAGGGCCGCGATCCCGTTGCCGGTCCCGGTCCGGTACGGGCGCGACACTGAGGGTTGCGATCCGTTGCCGGTCACGAAAAAAGACAAAAAGGAAAAAAAAAAAAAAAAGTCCATGGAAGGATTTGTATTATCTTCCCAATTCTATTTTTCCACAAACTTTCTGAAGTGCTCTTGCATTCATTCCCAGGGTTTCCATGGCCAGAGATAATCTGGCCTGCTGAGCAGGGAGGACAGTGTGGATGTGGCTAGCAGTGAGATGTGTAGTAAATGCAGATATGGACTCTCTGGGGATGGGGGTGGTGGTGATGGAGGTTATTCTCTCCCAGCCAGAGCCTACTCTGTTCAAACAAGTCAGAGTCATAGGGAGGGGAAACCACTTACAACTAGGGAAACAGAAGGCAATGCCAGCTGGAGAGACAATCCACCATAAGCCTGCAGTATTCCCCAACACAAGTCCATGAGGGAGATCAGTGTCACTCCCTGCCCCATGTCCATAAATGACAGGGCATGTCAGGATACTGAGGCCCTAGCTCCAACTCCTGAAATCTGCCAAGTGCCCCAGATCCAGCATCCACAATGGATCTGGCAGCCCACTATCCTTGACTATAAGTGCTATAGGGAGGGAAGGACAGACGCAGGGAGAAGAGCAATGCAAGTTGCAGTTGTTTCTCAAAACAACATGAGAAGTAACTGGACACTCAGGCCACATGCTGGGAGGACAAAAAAGAGGTGAGTTAGAAGGCACAGGAGCAGTCCCTCCAGAAGAGTTAGCTACCAGGTGCAGCCTCCACTGGCCACATCTCCTTCACCCAGGTTGCCTTGGAGTGTTTCAGGCCAAGGAAGACTCCCAATCCCATGTGCAGAAGAAGAGGACCCCAGGGAAAGCAGCTGAACAACTCAGAATGGGACATGGGCCATGATGAGCAAGTGGTAGCCAAGGACAGCCTCTGAGTCCTCCTGGCCTCTGGATGCTGAGCTGGCTCCAGGAAAAGGGAAGAATCCCACTCCCACCCCTATCCCAAACTACCTGAGCCTCGAGGAATTGGGGGCAAATGACTCAGGATGTAGGGCTACCAGCTCATGTGCTGGCTCTGTGCTATAAGAATAACTGTGCCCTGGGAGAAAGGCTGAGGCCTAGGTTAAAACCTCTGGCTAACCCAGCCTGGCTTGGGATCCTCAGGCTGGACCTGCAAGCACTGTTGAGGGAGACAATGGCTCAGCAGCAACCCCTCCCCCTCCCGTGAAGGTGAAATGAGAAGGGAAAGGGGCTTTCCTCACCCCTACCGCACCGATTCCACCTAACCCCGCCTCCTTCCTCTGCTACATAGCATTCACTCTTCACTTACTCAAAATCAGTTCAGAGGAAAGACTCTACCTCCTATCTGCTGGGGCGGGGCGGGGGTGGTGGTGACAGCTTCCTAACTGCCGTGTTGCAATCTGCTAGTCAGTGCAGGCCGCCTGTTGCCGCCTGCCCTGTATTAAATACCTGCTCCCTGATTACAGCCCATGGGGCACGATTAGCTGCCTTCAGAGAACAAAGTCTATTTTCATTAGAAATAGGACTCCGCACGCTCAGTGAAGCTGCACTGTGAACCCACTGAACAGCTGAGTAGAGTGTAGACACAGACAGATGTAAGGCGCAATCTGCACCAGAAGCTGGCTGAGCAGTGGCCTCTAATTAAAGGACAAAAAATTTGCCAAACATCCCTCTTTAACCCGGAGATGGGACTCATAACTGCTCCCTCTTGTGGGTATATGTATATGACTAGGGGCTTCCACTGTAGTCAGAGATCACTGCTGCTGGAGATGGAGTGGGATAAGAGAAAAATCTCTTTGGGATCCTGACTCTCTCCAGACCATTATCCTTACTACTACACCCAGCAAACACCCACAGGAGGCAACAGCAAGAAGGTTCAAGCCCAAAGAAGTCCCCCTACTTCCTTCTGCCCTCCCTTCTGGGAGTCTGTGCAAGGCCCAGGCAAAGTCAAAGGTGAAGGAAAGAAAGGAAAGTGAAAGCTTCCAGCTTTCTCCCTGCTAAGGGCTGACGCCACCTCCTCAACACTGGCCCAGGAGAGAGAGACAGGATTGAAAACTGATGTGGCTCTTTGGCTTTTCCAATTTCAGCGTTCTCCCACTGGATGTCTCCTTCCAGCTCCCCAAGTTCTGCACTACTATCTCACTCCACACCTCTACTGATCCTGGGTCAGCTGCCCTACCCTGCCCTAGAGAGATCGACTGTCTCCCCACTACCATCACCAATGTCCCCTTTAAGAAATTATGGTGCCAACAGTTTATCCAGGCTCAGAGTATTTCTGAACCTACTGATAAGCCTTTCTGCTCTCAGCTGTCAATGAATCAAGCAAGTAAAGGACCTTGTGGGGTCAATGAAGCCAGTCTTCTGAATCAGGGAGGGCCCACACTTCACCACAAAAATCACTAAAGCTCTTCTTCATAATTCACCCACAGAAAGTCAAAAGGAAGTTAGTAATCACTACTGCTTTTAAAATGAAAGGAAAACCCAGCCCTGTTTCAGAATATACCATCTGTGTTGTATCCTGCCTTAATTCCCTTGGAACTCAGCAGGATATAAATAAATAATAAAAATAAATACAAGCCCTTCCTAAAGCCCCTAATCAACCACTAAAACACAAATGTCTAGGGCCAGCCCGTGGCTCACTTGGGAGAGTGTGTTGCTGATAACACCAAGGCCAAAGGTTTGGACCCCTATATAGGGATGGCTGGTTAGGTCACTTGGGAGAGCGTGGTGCTGACAACACCAAGTCAAGAGTTAAGATCCCCTTACGGGGCCGGCCCGTGGCTCACTCGGGAGAGTGCGGTGCTGATAACACCAAGGCCCCGGGTTCGGATCCCATATAGGGATGGCCGATTCGCTCACTGGCTGAGCATGGTGCTCACAACACCAAGTCAAGGGTTAAGATCCCCTTACCGGTCATTTTTAAAAAAAAAAAAAAAAAAAAAAAAAGATCCCCTTACTGGTCATCTTTTAGTGAAAACAAAAAACAAAAAAAACCCCCAAAAACCATGAATGTCTGATCACACAGGGGCGGGGGCCTCCCCCTCAGAAACTGTCCTGAGCTATAAGCTGTGGATGTAGAATATCTGACTCTGCAAGCCTATGGGAAGCTGTGCCCCACTAGGGGTAGGTGACACTCCTGCCACACAAATCTGGCTGCTTCTCAAGCCTCTGAAATCCAGGCTCTGCCTCCAACTTAAGTCTAAGAAATACAAACCATCACCCTGCAAGGGCCAGCCCTGTAACCAAGTGACCCAGTGGCCCTGGGGATTGCCTGTGAAGATCCCCACCCCCTGCACAGTCTCTCTCCACCTCAACTGCCCATGATCAGCAGAGCAGTCCCCCAGCACCATGCACTGGTCCTACCAAAGCTGGGTGCAGCCTCCCCCATACCGTCCCCTGGATGCGCCTCCTGCTTGCCACCAGCCCCCAGTTTCCGGCATGCAGCTGTTCCTGAGACACATGAGCAAAGCCCTCAGCAATCCTGGGCGCGTGGCAGGCAGGCGGCCAACAGCTCATGGGGTGGGGCCCGGGCAGAGGTTCGGCTCTGGGCCGATGACTAGGCTGGAAGATGCCAGTCTGTGCCTGGACCAGCCCTGCTGCTCCATCCAACAGCAATGCCTGCCACCCTCCTGGGCAAGTACAACCTCACCCTCTTGAGACAAGTTGCCTGCAGCCCTGACCTGGCCCCCAGCCTACTCTAAACTGAAGAGATTGACAGGGTTTTGAAAGCCAAAAAAGGGTAGTAGTTTTTCTGCCCCAGAGTAATCCTAAGGACTCAGAACTAGTGCTGGTGACCCATGAGAGCTCACCTGGCTCCCCACCTGAGCAAATACCTCAAGTCTATCCACCTGGCCTCTCATCCAAGCAAGCACTTGACAGGAACAAAGGGGCTGAAGACTACTGATGATGAGCCAAGCACACCAACCCTTCCCCCCAGTAAACGGAGGGCCAAAACGTCCCCAGGTTCACAGCCAGCATTGGTATTAGACCCCATACCCTCTCCTACAGAAGGACAAAGTGAAGAACTGGCCCTAAACCAGACCTCAACTCTAGGCCCCTTTTGCTCTCCTGGTCACAGCCAAGCCAAAAAACCATGCAGCTTGCTAACTCCATATTCAGGGTCCCTAAACATCCCTGCAGCACCTACCTACACCCTTTCACATTTACACACAGACAACCCATCCTATTAGTCAGGCCCCCGCCTTCCCCTCCCACCCCAAGGGGGATGGAATCCATGTAGAGGGCCTCACGTCTCAAGTTCCCCCTGTCTAGCCTACCCAAGATTGCACTGCTTCCAGAAGCTGGAGACACAGAGAGTCTGTCTAAAGAGTAACCTGTGCAGAACACCAGGAAGCACTTGGCAATCAACCTTCCTGTTACCTTCAGAACCCCCTTCTCCTTCCCAAGCCTGGAGAAAGAAGGGAGTTGGGTGGGAGCTTCTCCATGCCAGGCTGCACTCACCAGTCTCCCAATCTGAAGCCACAACCTTTTCTGGGCTCAACATGGAGTCCAAAGTCAGGTGCTGTCCCCTCTCTGGCTGAGGTGCTCTTCCCAGCTCTTCTCGGCTAAAGTCCACCTGAAGCTCCAGACGTGGAAGGGAGTGGGGGTCCAAACTCCACCCAGTCCACCTCCCAGAGCAACGGTTACCAATTGGAGCTATGTCTCAGATGGGTATCTAGTTCTGGGCTCCGGCCTTCAGCTTAAATAGCTTCACTCCTCTGCCCAGGGAATTCCTGAGCCAGGCCAAGGTTTTCCTCAACTTCCCCAACTGATCCTAACTTCTCTGTCCTGGGGTGAGAATAACGGGGACACTAACCTCCCCCTCTTGATAAAGGGAGGAAACTATCTGGTTTAGAAGAAAGTCCCTTCCCATTTTGGCTCCATCTGTCCCTGAGGCTTGAGAGGCAGCAGCAGCATGGTAACTGAGGGATATTTCAAACTTTGTGGTGCTAAAAGCACAGATTAAACAGAAACTCCAACCAATTCTGTTTTAAGAAAGAACTAAGGAGCGTGGTGCTGACTGAGGGGAAGGTGATGCAGGTGCAGGGAGGGACAGTGGAGCCCAGTAGCAGGCTGGCAGATGGGCAGGTGGCCGGGCATAGGAAATCTCCCTCTCTCCTCTCCTGGCTGCGAAGGAGGCACATCCCAACCCACAGCAAGGAGTTTGGGAAAACAAAGGGAATCCAGTGTTAAGGACTAGAGGGCAGAGAAGATGGCATAATGTAAGCTAAGAGGACATGGCAGCCAGTCTGGGAAGGAATGGAGGACAGGGACACTGCTGGTGGTATCCAAGGGCAGGTTAGTTGGCCAAGGTCAGACTCACAGGGTTAGTGTCTTCTCCCCAACCAGCCAGCTCTCCTGGTTAGTGCAGTTAGCGACAGACTCATGGCAGACGCCCTCCTGGCACTCCATACAAACAGACAGCTTGGTTTGTGAGCAGCCCAACTCCGGAGCTGCAAAGAGAGAGCAGAGGAATACCAAGCTGTAGGATGGCTGAGGGTACACACTGCACTCTCCTGACAGGGGCAGCACTTTCTGACTTACCACTAGACCCTCAGGGGCTTTCTCCCATCCAGAAATCATGCCAGGTGGAAGCAGAACACTCCCCCTGCCAACCAATGAGTACAGCTCACTGATCCCAAGCAATGTGGCTCTCTGGTTGGTCACAAAGAAGACAGCTGTTGTGGAAGGGGGCATAGCTCTCCTGTCTCCCCTGTTCCCTAAAAACTGCTACCAGGCTGCACCAGGGCTCTGAAAGCTGGGCTGTAAAAACAAAGCCACCCACAGCTGCAGCTGCCACCCATCCCGTGCCTGTGCCAGCAGAGTCCATCCCACTACCTCCCACAGGCTCCGAGGAAAGGGGCTGGGAGAAAACCAGCCCAGGGATTACAGGCTGTGACAAGAGCTGCATCGGAAAGCACAGTACAATGGGGCAGTGTGTGACCTGGCCTAGAGCTCGGCCAGTCAAGGGAAGGGTGGCACACTGCTGTCTTACAGTTTCTCTAGGGCTGGGGGGATGGTGCTTCGCAGGGAGCCAGCCCCAGAAGAACCAGCAAAGCAAGGATGAAGGCTGTATCTAGGCACCCCAGACTCCAACAAGAACTATTTTACCCTCTTAGAATGAGCAATGTCCACGAAGGCTAGTTTTCCCATCAGAGCAACTCTTTCCTAAAGTCTCCAGAACCACCCTGGGGAAAGTGACACAATCCAGCTTAGAGATCGCAAGACAAATGCCACAGTAGTGGAGTCTCAGAGACCCCACTAGATGTGTCCCCTAGGGCAGCAGGACAGGAAAGCTATAGCACCTATATCCTCTGATGCTTATCAGAGGGCAAGATGTTGGCAGGGAAGAAAGGAGAGGGGTTCTGTCTCCTGTTCTGGGAAGCCCTGCAGGCTGTGTGATGACTCAGGGGCAAAGAGGGAAGAACAGTCACCACCCTGGCCCCCCAGGTGGGCCTGGCCTTCTCTCAAGCTGAGGGGTAAGATTCATGAAGACAGGAAAAGCCTCCAATAGGCTTCCCACCTGCTTACTCACCGGGCTCCCCATATTGTTCTGACTACAGCCCCAGAGCTTAAAAAGGCCAAGGCCTGACCAAGAAGATGAGACAACCGTCCAGTAGAGAAAGACAACTCTTCCTATAGGCCATGACCTCGTCTCTAGACTGGTGAGAGAGCACGGCCACTGACAGGCAACCTCCAGAATCCTCACCACAAGAAAACTCAAAAAACACCAGCTGGGTCTGGCATGCTTTCAGAAGATAAGAGGTGAGTAATTTGGCTAATCCAAGGAATTCTCACTGCACTGAAATAGGAGTTGAAAAAACAGATCATTTTTCTTTTTTCCCAGACAAAGGTGAAACGAGTAAAGGGGAGAAACATATGTGAGATGTGAGTGGTGAGGCCCACACTGTGCTTACATCCATCCTGATTCCCACTCCAGTGCACTCCTACCAGAAAATTTCATCTTGGAATAAAAAACAATCCTTCAGAGATAGCCAGGGTGCCTGCTGTGGCAAGAACCTCTAGGAAAGTTTCTCCAGCCCTCCTAGGGAGCCAGCCCCAGAGAAACCCAAGTTGGGAAGGAGGCTATCTCAACTGGCTCCTCACAGGCTCCAACAGGGACTATTCTACTCTTGGGTCACTTGTTAAATGAACAGAACAAGTTGAAGAACAGTATGCATTATTATTGAGGGGTTTTTTTTTTTTTGGTCTTTTTTCGTGTCCGGCAACGGATCGCAACCCTCAGTGTCGCGCCCGTACCGGACCGGGACCGGCAACGGGATCGCAACCCTCGGTGTTGCACCCGCACCTCGCTCAGCCAGTGAGCGGGAACCGGTCTGTATGTGGGATCCGAACCCTCGTTGGGAGCGCCACCGCTCTCCCAAGCAGCGCACTGTAGCAGTGCACCACCGGGCCGGCCTGAGGGTTTTTTTTTTTAAAGGTGATACAAGTTAAGGAATGTCTAAAAGTACATAAAAATGATTAGGATACATGATAAATGGTGAACAGTGGTTAACTATCTTTGGAGAAAGGGGTTAGACAGGAGCAGTGGAAGCAGGAAGGGAGGGTCTTTTTACTCTTTATTTTGTATATTTTTCTCTATGGTATTTTATACAAGGGACATAGATTATGTTTATGATGAAAATCAACAGTTCCTAGACAAACAGACAAAACCCCTCCATATACATTGTGCTTTACTGTCCCAGGAGCGGTTCTCTTCCCCTATATTTCCTTTGATCCTTACAGTCTAGTGGGACACAAAGAACAGGTGGAGTTCTCCCATTTTGAGGTGCAGAGAGGACAGGTGACTTGTCCAAGACCACAAGCACAACTGAGACAGAACCCAGTTCCCGTTTCTAATTCCAGTGCAAAGCATGGAAAACTCCTTTCTCCAGGGAGCCACAGGAAAACCAGGACAATTCTGCCCTGATATTTAAGACCCTCAAAGGCTTCTGAGATTGAATTCCCTACTTTGCTTACCTGTGAAGGAACGAAGAGGCCACTGCTCAGTACCCAAAATGATAAGCACAGAGTTCTATCCTGTTTGTTAACTGAATGGAAGCACAGAGTTTTGGGGTCTAAGATAACTTCCCAGGAGGCAGACCCTCCCCTCAGGGCAGTGTGCCAAGTTCCCTACCACAGTTCACTGTGAGAACACAGAGCTCCTCACAAAGGTGGGGGAGGGCATATCTTTTATAGATTCTAAATGTCATCTAACAGACAGTTGGCCCTTACAAGATAGTACCTAACAAAGAAGAGGTCCCACCTTTCTACTCATGGCAGTCCAGGAGACTCAGACCCTCTGAAGCCTAAGGTACACAACACAATCCAGTCCAGCTGACTCACCCAACCTCCTCTCAAATCTGCTTGACATACAATGCAGTCTATCACTCCCACCAAGATGCCATTAGCAAAGATATGCCACAATGCAATGCACACTCCCACACCAAGGGACAAGGGGTAGAGCTAGGGAAAACTCCTTCATGCCACTTTTTGCTATTGGTTTCATCCTTTTGATTCATCTGGGCATTAACAAGATTGTAGTAAACCGTGGCTGTGAACAAGGAGCACACCCAGATGGGACTAGCGATACAATCAGAAATAGCAAGCAGGTTACATACGGAACTGAAAGGAGCATAAAGAATAAGAAACAGGAGGCTAGCAGCCAAAGATTTTTCAGGAGATGCTAATTAAGCAAGAAAAGCTACTGGTGTGTACTTTACCTCCTCTTTTAACCCATTCTTTCTGGCTTAGGGACCTGTTATTAGAATATTAAAAGGCTAAAAATGGAGATAGCTGAAGCCAAACACCTGGAAGATCATTTAGCCACAAGAATTCAATGCTGGAAAATAATTAGTAACGCTGTTGTTAACTCTATCACCTTTTGCTTATGCAGGACCTTTCTTTGTAAGAGCTCAAAAGGTTTTCCCAGATAGATCCCATCTGCTTTAATACCACTGAGAAAGGACTGGGTTGGGTCACAGAGTAACCAGGATTGCTCAGCACTTACTATGTAAGGCCTAAATGCATAGCCTTCAGTAAAAGACCCTGCCCCTAAGAAGCTTCAGAGACAGAAGACCTTATCTCTAGTGGGGGAGAGACAAGTTAGCGGCTGCTTACACTGCAGTGTTGTGAGTGCTTTGAGAGCATAGAGGTGAGAGCCTGGCTGGGGCAGGAGTTTAAGGACCAGACATAAAGGCCACCTCTAGAGAACTCAGATGTATCTTCCTCATCTGATGGTAAGCTCACACTGGAGTACCACTTGGCATTATACAATTAGGACATCTAAACTTCTGGAAACAAATTCCTTTGGTGTTTGTTGGGAGCTGGTTCCCTAAGGACTACCCCCCCCATCAACAAACATTAGAAACAAAATGGCAAAGTACAGATCATGACACTCAGCTACCAGCCCCATTTCTGAGGAGCATCTGAGTTAAGCCTGTTCTATGACATAAAGACCAACAAACCCTTAAGAAAACTGGGGCCAAGAAGTCTGGCTTCCTCGATTCCTGGAAGTGTACTAGCAGATTCACCTAACATTTTTCAGTCCATAAAATAACAGAAATATGGATCCTGAAACACTGCATAAAGTTATCCACTACATAACGCCTTCTATCACATCCTTAATTACCTTGCAAATCCACCATCTACCTGCCCCCACTGCCAACCTCACCAGGACTGGAGAAGGCCAGCATATCATGACCCATGCAAGAAGTAATCACAACAAAAGAGATGAGGAGAAGCATCAACACCCTTATTTTGCACAGGCTGCTCAGGGACGATGTCCCCAATCTCATCATTTTTTTTTTTTTTTTTTTTTGTCTTTTTCCGTGTCCAGCAACGGATCGCAACCCTCAGTGTCGCCCCCGTACCGGACCAGGACCGGCAACGGGATCGCAACCCTCGGTGCTGCTCCTGCGCCTCGCTCAGCCAGTGAGCGGGAACCGGTCTGTATGTGAGATCCGAACCCTCGAGCGGGAGCGCCGCCGCACTTCCCAAGCGGCGCACTATCCAGTGCACCACTGGGCCGGCCCAATCTCATCATTTTTATTGCTTCATCACAAGAAAGGAGACTCTCAATTTTACTCCCACCTCAAAAATGCTACTGGCTAACTGGCAGAAATCAAAAGGCTTATTCTAGCTTGAAGAAAACAGTGCCTTTTCTTATCCACAGTTTTCCAAAATGGGATTCGTTCATTCAACAAATATTTACCAAGTGTCCTTAATATGCTGGGTACCATTCTACATGCTGTGAACTCATTATCTCTAAAGGTCAATAGTCCTGCAAAAAAGATAATGTCATCCTCACTTCATAGGGGACGAAACCAAAAAACCCACTGGTTAAGAAATGTGCCCAAAGTTACACAGCTGGTAAGTGGCAGAGTTTGGCTAGCTACAAAATCAGACTCTATCATGTTCCCCTCACCACTACCATCAATTCCAACCCCCAGACCCCCCATGATCAGGGAGCGTCCCTCCTCTACAGGAAGTCAGCCCAGTGAAAGAGACAGACAAGCAGGAAACTCACCACACAACAGGGTAGTGCCAGAACAGAGGTTCAAACAAAGTGCTGTGGGGAGCCAAGAGGAGAAAAGGAAAGCAGGGAAGGCTTCTCACTGGAGGTGACAGAGGAGCTGGGTCTTAGAACATGAGCAGTTTCAGAGACAGAGGTGAGCATTATGAACTGAATGAAGTGCACAGGCAAAGAAGAATAAAGTAAATGAACGGCCCTAACAGGTTCGGGAGCAGTGAAAAATGTAGGAGCAATGAAGCACAGGACAGATGAGGTGGAGTGGCAGCAACTCAGGCTAAAAGGTTGGGTTTGGGCCAGAGTATTAAAGAGCCTTTTTGCATGCCAAGCTAAAGAGTGGGGACTTTAACTTAAATAAGAAAGAACCCATGATATTTATAAGTGAAGAGTTTTTCAGAGGAAAGTAATTTTGACAGCACCATGGAAGACAGATTGGAGTGAAGAGAGACTGCACACCCCACTTCATTCATTCTATGTGCACCGCAAAAGCACCTGTTACTTGCCGGGCACTCTCCTAAATGCTAGAGATACAACAGTGATAAGACACAGTCCCTGTTCTCAGGGTACTTACAGTCTTGTGAGACTCAGACAAATAAATAGGCAATTATGATACAGCTTAAGTGTTAGAAGCAAGCACAAAAGAACGTCACTAAAGGAGAGTAGGGTCCTAAAGGAAGTGACATTTAAACTGAGACCTGAAAGACAGAAAGGAAAGGGAGGAGGGGGAAGAGGTCAGGAAATGTATTCCACACCAGTGTGTGCAAAGGCCCAGAGGATAGAAATAATAAGTTCAGAGAGTTTTTATGAGGCTGAGTCCAGGTGAAAAATGAATGCTGGATTTACCCAGAGGTCTTTGGCACTCAAAATATGGTAGTGAGAAGTAAGTAAAGGGACTGGATTCAAAGATAATACCTGAATAAGGGGCATTATGACAAGAAATTGATTTATACAACAACAAAAACAAAACAGTAAAGGGGGAGAATCAGCTCAAAATCCATCAGCCTACACCCTGCAATTCAATCATTTGTTAAAATGTGACCTGAATCCAGAAAGTCTGAGGACTTATACCAGAACACAAAGGTGTACTCTATGGCAGTAACACGTTTCAGCATGCTGACTGTAGCACAAATCAAGATAAAATACATTATCCTAAGATATGTGGCTCCTAAGTTAATGGAGGAGGGGAGCAAGACTGACAGATGATGTCTACCTCTCAAAATCACATGTGCCATAACAAATAGAAAAATTCACCACATGGCTGGATCAGGGTTCCCAGAGAAAGCCCAAAGTCCTGAGCCCCCAATTCCCCTGAAATCCAGTTAACACCAGGCGTGTGCCTACTCTGATGACAGGGTTGAGAGTCATTTGTTCAAGAACAAAATGGGTCCTGAGGGTGTGTTAAATAGATAGAACATGACTCAGAAGGAGGGGAAGAGTGAGTCTTAAATACAGGGCAAAAGAAAGCCAGTCAATCAAACCTTGGGCACACCTTGGAACTTGTCTGCCCCAAGGCTGCACGTGGGCCTCCTGCCTGGCTAAAGGGAAAGAGAGCACTGAGCCAGCGCTTCCTCAGACAAAGCAGGCTTCAGCAGAAACACATTTATTTTCCATTTTCCCCTCAAGCTGAGGGGAGGGAGCTGTTTAAGAATGTCAGCTTTTTTTTTTTTTCTGTGTAGTTTGCCACTCGCTATTTTTTAAAAAAAGAATACATCCAGACTGTCTGTGAATTAAATTCTAATACTATGGCTACTTCAACTGCTCGTGTCAGTGATCAAAAGTCAGAAATAAGCCTTATATTTACATCTACATTAATACACATACACATACACACACACAGAGAGACCTTTAAAGTATGCTTAGAGTGGATCCTAATGTTAGTCTGCTCACCCAACCCAGACCCAAGGTTTTCCAAAGGGCAGGCACCCATCATGAAGAGAGAGCCCAGGTTTGGCTAACATGGCACAAGTCTCCCTCACCACAGTCCCTTTACCAGTTATTATTTCTGAGAGGAAGAAGGCTTGATGTGAGAAAGAAGGCTCAACCCCTTAAAAATTTTTTAAATAACCAAAAAAAATTTTTACTACAAAATTTTACTAAAAATTTTACATCTAACCATCATGACAAACAAACAAGAACCAGTATACAATCAAACAAACAAGAGACACAAATTGCCACTAGGCATATTTAAAAGTTAACTTCAGGGCTGGCCAGTTAGCTAGGCTGTTTAGAGTTTGATGCTGATAACACCAAGGTCCAGGGTTTGATTCCTGTACCAGCCAGCCACACCACCCTCGCGTCCCACCAAAAAAACCCCCAAAAAACAAAAAACAAATTCAATTGCTGAAGCCAGACTGCCTAGGTTCAAATCCCAGCTCTGCCACTTACTAGCTGGGTGACCTTGACCTCGACCTTAAGCAGTCTTTGCCTTCATTGTCTCATCTGTAAAATAGGGATAATAATATCTATTTCATATTGTTGTTACAAAAAATTAGGTAATGCATGTAAAAGCACTTACAATAATGATAGGTACATAGAAAGTGCTCAATAAGCACTATTATAATTATCATCATCAGTCAACTGCATGGAAGATAATTCTACAGCCTCAGAGCTTCAAACAGGAAATCACTGGCATTTATAAATCACTGTTTTTTTCGCGGGGTGTGGGGGCGGGCAGGGGATGTGGCTGGCTGGTATAGGTTTCCAAACCCTTGACCCTGGTGTTCTAACACCGGGCTCTAACTGAGTTAACTGGTCAGCCCTTAACATCACTTTAAATAGTTTAATGAGAATATTCTCCCTACACACAAAATCTATTCTATCCAAAAGCTGTGACTCATCTCTCTAACATCAGGCTAGCAGCCCAAACCAGTACAGATCCTCCATAAACAGACAGCAGGTTCAACCATGAAGCAGAAATTAGTGCTGAGATCTGACTAGCATAACTAACACTGAGTATCAGGCACTGATCTAAGCATATTAATGTATTAACTTATTTAACACTCACAACAACCCTATGAGATACTATCACCAGCCCCATTTGATTGATGAGAAAGCTGGAGCACAGAGAATTATGCAATTAATAAAGGTCACAGAGATACAAATGGCAAAGCTAGGATTTGAACTAGGCAGCCCGGCTCCAGAGTCAGTGCTCTTAACTGCTATATGTACTCACTACACTGTCCTTGCTGATTACAATTTCCAAGGGGGCATCCACAGATTGTTCCCAGTAGAAGAAGGTTGGACTCACAGCTAAATACCATCAGTTCTTCAGATACATGAAGGAATTGAAGCTGGCCTGGTAACAGTGATTTGCCTTGTTCTGTCTGGAGTAAGCCTTCGGTGGCGGGGGTAGGGGCAGGGAGCATAGGTTCATGAGGAGTTCTAGATCAAACCAGACCTCCCAGACTAATCATGAAGCAGATGCTTGTCCTGAAACAGGCTTCAATAAGCAGCCTGCTCCCAACTCTGGTTAGGGCACAACCAAAGGGCACCAAAGGAAATGAGGACCATATTCACTACACCCTCTGGTTCCAGCCCCCTTCCCTTCTCTCCAACACCAACTCCACTATCTCTAAGGCCATGCTTAGTCTGGTAGTAAAACTGATTTTTGGGTGCAGCTAGCCAGTAGAGGGAACTGAACCTTTGACCTTGGTGTTACAAGGTGGCACTCTAACCAACTGAGCTAACCAGCCAGCCCTGACCTGATTTTTTTTTTTTTGGTTTGATGGGGAGAATATAAAAAAGAAAGCCACCAGAAAAGAAAAGGGCAAGTTCCATAACCCTTTCCTTCCATTACCGCACTAGTCCAACTAAAGCAGCTCTCAAATATCAGGGTTCTCAGGGATAGAGAGTGAGGGGATAAATATTTCCAAGGCTTTATACAAGCAGCTTCACCTCTTACCATAAGCTGCTCTGGGTTTCTTTTACCTGATACCAATCTGCATTTCCCTCACCTCTGACATCCTGCCCCCCCCCCCCCAACCCCTGACCTGATTTTTTTTTTTTTGGTTTGATGGGGAGAATATAAAAAAGAAAGCCACCAGAAAAGAAAAGGGCAAGTTCCATAACCCTTTCCTTCCATTACCGCACTAGTCCAACTAAAGCAGCTCTCAAATATCAGGGTTCTCAGGGATAGAGAGTGAGGGGATAAATATTTCCAAGGCTTTATACAAGCAGCTTCACCTCTTACCATAAGCTGCTCTGGGTTTCTTTTACCTGATACCAATCTGCATTTCCCTCACCTCTGACATCCTGCCCCCCCCCCCCAATCCACATCTTCAGAGGAAAACTAATGAGCCCTTCTTACTAAAAAAGCAAAAACAGACATGCAGCAAGAACGAATTCAGGAGTTAGTGACAGCAGGTACCTAAATGGTCAGTGAACACTAACAGAAATTTTTTTTCGCACGACTCTCTACCATCTGTCACCCACAAATCTCCACTTCCAGGCAGGATGCCAAACTGAAGATGTGATGGGGAGATTGAAGAAGAAACAGTGAGCATGTAAGAAACTGCTTGTTACAGGAATGTGTTAAAATGCCTTCAGCATGATCTCTAGGCCCTTGCCCAGGTTTGCTTGCACAGATGAAGGCACACAAGGCTCAATTCTACAGCAACTCTCAAAAGTCAGCCTGCAACTGAAGCAAAACACTAACTTAGGAGCCACAGGCAAAGAACTACCTCTATAGAAGAGCACCCTTCTCAGATTAAATGATTTTCAGCATCACTCTAAGCCTACGCATCGTGCTTCCAGGGAGCATGCCAGCCAGAAACCTGTCACTGGAGGCCACCTTACCCGCTCTGGGGTTGGGCTGGGGCAAGTCGCTACCTTTTCTTCTTTCCAAGTAGGCACTGATTTCTTCCAGTCCCTGGGGCCCCCGAGTCTTGAGCTGAAATTGGGGCAGATGCTGTTATAGGAGCTGTGGAAAGGTTGGCTGATCTAAGCCTGAAAGAGGGTCATTTCACTGGCTTTAGTCTCCTCCTCAGCAATTCCCTTCTCCTGCCCAACATTCTCCAGATCTCTCTTCCCTTCTTCCACACTATCCTCCGCCACTAGAAAGATCCCTTTCTCCTCCCACCGGCCTGGTACAGGCCGCTTCTTTACTCTCGGCTAAGAAATTCTCCTCCAGTTCGTGACTCCGCTTCTCCAGGGCCTGCAACGACACATACTTCTAGCTCCCCGCCCCGAACCCCTTCCCTAGAGCTGCTCCTGGATCTAGGCCCCCTCCCCTCCACCCCATCTCCTCTTTTTCTCTCCGCCCCCAACTTTCCTCCATTCCACTCTTCTTAACTCCGGAGCTTATTCCTCCTCCGCCCCTATTCCATGCTAGGGTCCCCGCGATCCTCCTCAATTCTAGCCTCCCAGCCCGACCATTCCAATCCCACAACAAACTTTCCACCGCTGCCGCTGCCTTCAGGCCGCCATCTTGCCGCGGGGCAGGCCGGGTAGTGGCCAAGACTGCGGGAATCCCCACGCACTAGGCGCCGCGCGTCATCGGGGGCGGGGCTGTAGGGGCGGGGCCTCGGTCTGGGGAACTGCGGCACCCGGTGATGGGGAAAGACGGGGATCTCATAAGAGCAGGGAAAGAAGGCTTGGCCACAGAAGGAGGGCGGAATCAGGAATAGAGCAATAGCGGGGGTGGGGGGACTGATACTCTAAGTAAATAAATAAGTAAATAAGTGAATAAGTGAGAATAGGGAAACACAGTTCAAAAATATAATGGGAGAGGCCGGTTCTCCATCGTCCGAGAATAAAATCAGCTTTTAAGCTTGGCACGCGGAGATCCGCAAGACCCAGCCTCTTCCACCTTCATCAGTCTCATTTTCCACCTCTCTCAGGGACTTCGGGTTCCCAAATTGTACTGTTTTCAGGCCATCAGGCTTTAAAATGTCCACCCCTCTCTTCCCGTTGAGTGATTAATTCTTACTCCTTCTTCCACCCTTAGCTCAAATGTCACCTCCTCCAGAAAACCTTCCCTTTGGCGCTTTTTTGCTGGACATCTCTAGCAACTTGCATATAACTTTATTGTAGCTATCTATGCCATAGTTATTTATTTACATGTGTGTCCCTTTTGCCCTGCTGTTTCTGCAGGGCAAAAACTATGTCTAATTGCATCTTCATATTCCTTAGCAGGTGGCTGGCAGACAATAAATGCTTAATGAATAAATAGCATGGTTCCTTCAATGCGCTAAATATTTTTCTGCCTCAGGGCCTTTAAGTTTACTATTCCTTATTCCTGGAATGTTCTTCCTCCAGATATTCACTCTCACTTGTGTCTCTGCTCAAATGTCACCACTTCAGAGAAGACTTCGTGGCCACTCAATCTAAATCAGCATCCCCAATCACTCTCCCTTAACCCTACTTAATGTTTTCTTTCATAGCATTTATCATTATCTGACATTATATTAAATATTTCTTTGTTTATTGACCACCTCCCCTGCTATAATGTAAACTTCAGAGGTCTGAGACTTTTTCCCATTCATCACTGTATCCCCAGTGTCTAAAACAATGCCTGGCATAGTATGTACCTAATAAATATTTATTGAATAAGTAAATGGCATGGATGGAGGTGAGTGATTGACAGATTTTACAATATAGTGGTGAGAAGAAGTTGAAAATTCTGTAACATAAAGAAACGTATAGATGAAAGTTACAGGCTCTCAAGGCCTCAGTTGGCCCCATCAGCAATAGTAGCAAAAACAGGCCTCAGACTCATTAGAGAGAGTGAGATGAGAACCATATGGAATTCTGGAGCTGGATCCTCAGGGAGCAAAGCCCTCCTGGGAAAGCCCCAGGACAGCTAGCAACCATGTAGAGGAAAGGGAGTGGTCTGGAGGCCACAGAGTTTACTCAGACCTAAAGACAACATCTACCCCAAGCCTAGGCCTCTCTTGGCCAGATGGTTCCAAAGAAGCCTTAGCATCTGTCCCTCCATAAATTATCGAGTGCTCCCTCCTGCCTGTCCTCTCTGGTGACAGCGGAACAATTGTCCAGGAATTCCATCTGCTCCCCTGTCCCTCTCCCCACCACAACTCATCAACATTTCAGGGCAGAGAAGTATCCTATTTCCCTAGGCCTACAGATGAAAGCTGGGTCTGTCCCCTGGTGAAGCTGGTCTCAAGCACCTCCCCACCCCCACATAGACACACATAAATAAAACCTCAGCAGAGGTTCCCAGATCTCCAGAAAGAGGGGCTAGCCATCTTTATTTCCCATCCCATTCATGCTTGTTTATTATATACATTTTTAAAATTAATTTAATAAAATTTCACTTAGTAAATCAATCATACAGATTCTTGCGGAGCTTAAAATAAAGACTTGCGATCATTACACACCTCCACATGGTTTCCATTAAACTACCCTACCCATTCAGTACTCTCAAAATATGACATTTGTTGTTATATAAGACCATAAACTCAGATTATTTGCTGTCTACAAAAGGAAATCTGTCTGAAGGAAGAAATGTGGGAAACTGGTTTTCTTTTCTAAGTAGGTATAACCTCCAGATACCCTCTCTACTTTTCCAGAAATGGTTTGGGTGCCCACAGGAGGAAGAAGGCCCTTGTACTTTCAAAGTACAAATTTATGGTATATAAATTTGTTTGTTTGTTTTTGTTTTGGTGGCTGGCTGGTACAGGGATCCAAACCCCTGACCTTGGTGTTATAACACCATGCTCTAACCAACTGAGCTAACCAGCCAGCCAGTATATAAATTTGAAAAGTAATTCAAATTTACATTTTGGAAACGGGGTAGTATATCAGTAGACATAAACATATCTTTGAAAAGAAAGGGAGTCACAGTCACCTAGAGTTTCTAACATTTAGACATGTGAGATAAAGTTTTTTTTACTATAAGGAGGCTGATTTACCTCATCATCACCCCCCATTGATGTACAAATGCACACTGGTAAACTTTATTGATAGCGACAATGAACAACTGTATACCTAAATATTCATTAGGCCACAATTATATAATTGTTCACTATTACTGTCACCACTATCATGGTGAAAAACCATGAGGAAGGTGAAAATTAGGGATCCCTTCTAGTTTTCAGGGTCCTAAGAAGTAGCTGCAATTTGCAGAAGCATCAGGCTCCCTTCACTCTGACAGCAGTTTTTATGTGGTTGTTCCTTAATGTCCACAGGGTTGTAGGTGATGCAGGGCCCACCTGCACAAACATGGTTGAGCATTTCCCAAGGCACAATCCACCTAAGTCCAAGGCAGTTCTTTCTCCTGATTTCATTTATATAGATCAGTCTCCCCACTGAAATGGGCGTGTTTGGTGTGGAGTCCAGGGTTGGCCAGAAAGACTCCTTTCAGGCAGAAAGGATCCCTAGAAAAAGAAGTGGATCTTGGACAAAGACAGCAATTTCAGCTCAGGTACTGGAGGAAACTACTGGGGGGAGGAGTTGAAACCATCCTGGGCTTAGCCCCACAGTCTTTTGAACTGTTCAACTAGAAGGATGTTAGGCCATATGCAGGCTTCTTGGTTGCAAGTGACATTATCTACTAATAGTTTGAAGCCAGGAGGCTGCCTATATTCTTATTTGTGACCCTGATTGGATGTGCTGAATCCTTTATACATGGTTGTTATGACAATGATTTCAAAACTTCAAGAGGTGATAACTTAGTCCACTTCCCTAGATTTAAGTTATACACATTTCCTAATTCTTTTGTCTATTAATAGAAGTCCACAGCTGCCACCCTGTTGGATAAGCTTTTATTTTATGTAATGTCCTTTTCCTAGCTTGGGATGTTGAATCTGATGGAAGCCTAAGAAATGTAATTTTAAAGACCTTGAAACTCACAGCTGGCCCGTGGCTCACTTGGGAGAGTGTGGTGCTGACAACACCAAGTCAAGGGTTAAGATCCCCTTACCGGTCATCTTTAAAAAAAAATTTTTTTTAAATAAATAAATAAAAAATAAAGACCTCGAAATGTGGTGAGATCTTTCATTCTTTCATATTCTTAAAACCATTTAACTTTTAAAAGATAATTAAATCAGGAATCAAATAAATGTTGTACATCTGTGTTCACAGCAGCATTATTTTACAATAGTGAAAATGTGGAAACAACCCAAATGTCGATTGATAAATCAATGGATAAACAAAATGTGGTATATATATATGCAGTGGAATATTACTCAGCCTTAAAAAGGAAGGATATTCTCGGGGCCAGCCCGGTGGCGCACTGGATAGTGCGCCGCTTGGGAAGCGCGGCGGCGCTCCCGCCCAAGGGTTCGGATCCCACATACAGACCGGTTCCAGCTCACTGGCTGAGCGAGGCGCGGGAGCAACACCGAGGGTTGCGATCCCGTTGCCGGTCCCCGGTCCGGTACGGGGGCAACACTGAGGGTTGCGATCCGTTGCCGGACACGGAAAAAGACAAAAGACAAAAAAAAAAAAAAAAAAAAGGAAGGATATTCTAACACATGCTATAACATGAATGAACCTTGAGACATTCGCTAAGTAAAAAAAGCTAGTCACAAAAAGACAAATACTGCATGATTCTACTTATTCAGGAACCTAGAGTAGTCAAATTCATAGAGACAGAAAACAGAATGGTTGCCAAGGGCTTGGGGGAGGGAAATGAGAAGTTAGTTTCTAAGGGTATAGAGTTTGTTTGGGAAGATGAAAAAGTTCTGTTGCTGGATAGTGGTGACAATCGCACAACAATGTGAATGTACTTAATGCCACTGAACTGTACACTTAAAAATGGTTAAAATGATACATATGTCATATATATTTTACCACAATAAAAAATATTTCCAGTAAAAAAGTTTCTTAAGGGCCGGCCCGGTGGCGCACTGCTACAGTGCGCCGCTTGGGAGCACGGCGGCGCTCCTGCCGAGGGTTTGGATCCCACATACAGACCGGTTCCCACTCACTGGCTGAGCGAGGTGTGGGCGCAACACCGAGGGTTGCGATCCCGTTGCCAGTCCCAGTCCGGTACGGGCATGACACTGAGGGTTGCGATCTGTTGCCGGACACGAAAAAAGACAAAAAGGAAAAAAAAAAAGTTTCTTAAAATATATATCCCATACATCTTCATATGATACCAAGTCTCATTTTCTGGCTTCTAGTGAGGTCTTGCCTCTCCTAATTCTAAGGCAAGGACTCCCTGAGGGCAGAGTTTGTCTCCCCCTTCAGACTTTGGGCACTATTAGATGACAGCCTGTGCCTTCCCTCTCAGATTGCAATGTGGGTCCTGGGGAAGCTCAGAAATTGCAGAAGCGATAGCTTACCTTTTTCTTCTGGACTGCATTGGGCCCTGTTAGTCAGGCCCTGCTGCACTCTGACCAGTAGGGGCTGGGTTGTTCGATGGTTCCCAGTCTCTTTGCTGAATCAGGAGGCTTTCCCTCCATTCCAGGTCAGTGCCTGCAACGTGGCCTTGAAAGTATGTGCTGTCCCACAGACTAAACAACTGTT